ATTCCACTAGAACTTTTTGGTGGAACAGTGATAAACGGAAAATCAAAGTTGCGGGTTTTAGTGGAGTTGTAAGAAAACGACAGAAGCTACCGTAAAATCTGTATTAGAAAGGACCATTTAATTCAAGGGTTCCTTTAATAGAAGAGACCCTTTAATATAATGGACCTCCAGAGGAGCCTTGGATCTGTAAAAAGGCCGGCTCTTCTACTGCAGGTTTGGCGGTATATTTTGTTGAGAAGTCAGTCCTATTTAGTTTACGTCAAAAACACGTGATAGGATACTTAAAAACAGGTTGGAGTNGATCAGGCACGCGGNNCGTGCNCAGGCNGNGNGCGAACGCGGAGCGTCCGTAACGGATTGTTCGCGAATCACCTGTGTGAGCACGAACTCCATGAAGTCTTCAACTCACTCATTTTCAAAGTGCAAACTTTTCAGCTAGTATCAAGCTCCGACGAAATAGACGAAAAAGTCAAAAAGATGGAAATTGTATAGTACATACGACCATCAGTAGCTAACCCATATCATCAGCCATCTCGTGCCACGAATCCATACGACAACATATCATCTTGCCATTCAACGCCATTCATTTTTTCTCTTTCGATAGAATTCATAATATTTAGGTGATCGATCACTTCCTTGTTATGAACAGATTCCGATGAAACGAACCACTTGACATTCTTGAATAGCCACTGTATTTTTCTTTTTGTTAATTGCTCATCCATATTCAGAGTCTTGTAGTTCAATCCGATTCTTCATTTGAACTAATCCGGTGTTCTCCAAAATCCCTTTTTTGTATATTTATTGTTATCTGTTCATTCTTCTGTTCACCTCTCGCTCAGGCTCTCACTCATTTCACTTTTTTACTCTGAATCTTCACTCAAAAATGCCCTTCTCTCACCTGTCTTCCTCCTCAAAAGATATGCTCAACCAGTTCAAAACATGTGTATGTGTTCTCTCTTCCGATCATAATCATCCATAGGATTTTTTTCTTTTGTTTATTAACATCGACAAGAAAATTTGCCAAAAATAAAAAATAAAAAGTTGAAACTTTTTGCTGTGGAGAGATTTTGTGTGGGTGTGGAACTCAATGTGTTGGGTAGAATGAAAATACAGTGTTTTAACACAGAAAAAAGAATAACGGGAAGGATGAAGTCTGAATCGCAAGATATGCGGAAAAAAGCGAACAAAAATGGGGAAATTGGAGGAAAAGAAAATGAGATGGAAAGTTGTACAAGCAAGAGACAGATTACTTATGTGGATTTAGTTGCCCGAGTTCTTCTTTGAGCATGGAATTTTAGACGAATCATTGGTCAAGTCGTAGCTAGAGCTGGCTCGAGTTACTGACTGTCCCTAAAAATTGAAAAATGTTCAGTTATTTTTATATCGAAAATGAGACGCTTTAAAAATAATGTTTTAATTTTAAAAATTTTCAAAATCAAAGTTCTAGAGGCTCCCCACCTGTTTAAGATTGTCCATAATGTAGGCGATGATTGCCAACCATGCGCGTCTGAGTTCTTTGTGCTTTCTAACTGCCTCACACCGACGACGAGCACAATCCATGATTGTATCACCTAGATCATCCCAGACAGCACTCGAGAGACCCTCTGCTTTCAGATGACGATGTTGTTTTCCGACTTCGGTCAGGTACTGAGTAACACGAGAGTGATCAGCGTCCAAGTTTTTGATGACAGTATCCAACACTTCTACAGTAACCCGACAGTGCATCATGCTGCAGTCCATGTCGCTTTTTGCAAATACAGCTACTCCATTGGCCTTTGTCAGCAGCTCCTTTGCTTTGGCATTCCGTGCACTCAATGTGGCAAACAGGCTGTTAGCAAATGGGCCGCTGGCTCCGGTGGTGAAGATGTTTGGCCAGCTTTGAGTGAGAAGCTTTTGCTGATATGCAGTCAACCCTAAACAATTTTCTGAATTCTATCTGAATTTTAATCATCTTCCACTAACCGATGACTTCGTTCAAATTGCGACGAGTCGGTGATGGTGGACACGAAAGATCTCCTGCAGATCGTTTAGCCTACAAACAAATAAACAACATCTAAACGGAGATTCAAATCTAAACGATACCATAAGCGGAAGACGAAGACTCTCCACCTCTGGACATTCGGTTCTTGAACGACCCATTTGACCCAAATGTGGGCAAGTAGTATGAGTAAGGGGACTCAGACAATTTTTCTCCTGGAAAATAACGATCAATGGAATTGGGCAATGAGCTTTTAGTGAATAGTATGATGGTTTTCGGGAGGGTTCTGTGCTGTCAGCCATATTGAGAAAACTGATGGTAAAATAAGAATAATGAGATGAGTTTGCTGGTTAGAGGTCACATGGGAAACAATATTATCTTCCCCAACTCATGCCATCTAACTTGAATCAGACAGTTTTCTAACAAAACAAGAGTTAGGATTGTATAGGAAAACTGTTGATAGGAAGTTTTTTTATGAATGCTAAGCTTACAAGAGGTGTCTACGAATGATGCAGAAAAACAGACTGTTATTTGAAATTGAGAAACCTGCAGGGACAAAGGAAGCGAAATATCATACAGAGATCTCTTAGATAAAGTATGTCACGCTAGAAAATGGTTCAAATAGTTCCTTAAGATCTTAGCGACTCTACTCCAAAACTAACCTGATCAATACTGCTACCGTTCTCCATGATTCGTTGCCTTCTCAATTCTTTCCGACCATTCTTCTCCAACGAATCCAACGAATCTTCAGAAAATGTACGAGTAAATCTGAAATTATATTCATTTTCTTGGCAAGAGACCGAGGCGACGACGCAAAGCCAATTTTTTCTGAAAGCCCCCCTAGATTTACGAGTAATAGTCCCTTCGGCCCACGCTGATTGGTTTTGTGTCAGAGTCATGTCAAAAATGGTGGGTGTTTGGAAATATAAGACAACAACAAGAAAGAAATGAAAAATGAATAAACGGGCTTATGACTTTTTGAGGATCTTATAAACTCGATGCGAAAAACGGCGAAATGCCAGGACGAAAGACAAATTTTCGTCTTCAAATTTTGATTAATGCGCACGAAACAGCTCGTTTTCCGACGGCGAGCAAAGTTGCCTTGACAGCCGGCATAACAAGTTTTTTAGTTTCAAAAAATGGAAAGAACAGGTGGAAATTAAAAACAGAGAGATATACTTACCGAAGTGGGGAACTAACAGAGCAACGCCGAGTTCGGGTTATTGAAATTACCGGCATCATTGAGTGATCCATAGTCTGGAACACAGAAAATAAAATTGAAAACCTGGAAAATAATTCATGGGAGAATATCGGATACTCGATATAGTGGTCCCACGGTATTAGAAGATTCCTGATTCTCAAGAGGGGATTTAGGCGAAGAATCCTTAAACAAAGTTGGAAAACTTTGGACAATTTTGTTCAAACTAAAAAGAGAAAGAATGGTTTTTGAAACTGTAAAATTCAATGCATTTCAGTTTGTATAAATGATCACAACGAACTTTCCAAAGTGAGAAATATTTATATCTAATACAAACATACTTGTAAACGGGACACTGCCATAGATTTATTAGAATAAATATTTTTGGACCAACTATATTAAATATGATAGAAGTCAACGAGTACTACAAAATGATACTATTTGTAAAACTGTACTTTGTCTATGAATGAAGTAAGAGACGGATCAGGCCGAAAACAATAGACAGGACCACCATAAGCCACTATATGGGTTATAAATTTGTTTATAGACAAGACACAGTTTTCCTAATAGTATAGTTTTGTAGCACTTGTCGAATTCTATCATATCTACTTTTGTTCCTTCAAAAATATTGATTATGAAAAAAAACTATGGTAGGTTTACAAGTATGAGTACAAGTGGAATTCAGATGGAATTGATCTAAGTCTCAAATATTTATTTACGATTTCCTGTTTTTTTTTTTCAAAGTCAAAGTTAAAAAAGAAAGGCTCTTCAGTGCAAGTTTTAAAAGCATGCTTCTCTTTTTTCTATTTTTGGTCGTTACATTTTGTGTTTTCTATGCCCTTGGAAGACTAATAACATTTGTAATGGTATTGTCAGAGGTCCTTCCATAAAACGAGCTCGTAAAAGTGTACTTGTGCCAAAAGGAAAAAAAAAGAATTTTTGACTTACTAGCTTTGAAAACGGATGGTATATTGGTGATACATCATAGGGAAGTGCAAACGGTCTCTCCATTGACTGTAAAACAAAAAAAAATTAGCTTTCGAAATATGAAATTGATAGAATAACGTCATTTGAAAAATGAGAGAGCAGGTGAAAAGGAAAGAAGGGAAAGAGTCTGAAGAAAAGATTTATGGAAAATGAAATGAAATATAAATCTTGCGGTTGACTAACAGAAATTGCAATATGAATTAGAAAGTGAGAAGAGTGACAATATTGCTTATTCCCCTCTGCTTCGACATCTGGAGGGAGCTTAAAAAGTCACAACATGAGCGAGTTCTGCAGTCATATATTTATTATACTCAGAATTCGCTGGTTCCAGAACATTTTCCAAAGATTTCGAAGCCATGACTCATCGAATAATTTTCCTAAAATCAAGCGGGGGTAAGAGGAAAACATCGTTCATCTGAAGACGTGTTTGCAGAAAAAAGAGAACATGAGAAACAGGGGAACCTCGGAATAAGAAGCTGTCCAAAGTTGATTGGTGACAACTTTGTTAGTGTTTCTCTCCCGGGAAAAGTACGTCTTCGTTTTTCTGAAAACGGATGATTACCCTCACTTCTTCTGCATTTTTCCTCTGCCTCCAGCTGTCCTCTCATCTACAATAGATGAGATCTTTGGGATGAAAATCTTTCAGAAAGTAGAAAAAAAAATATATATATATATAATACTCATTGCTTGAAAATGTTTGAGAATTCGAAAAAAACATCTTAGAATATAGAATGAATGTTCCGATGAATCAAATTTATGTGGGATTTTTTTTTCGGATGAATCCGAAACTCAAAACAATTTAGAATCATTTAGAAGATTTGATGATTGTGAGAGAGAGAGAGAGAGAGAGAGAGAGAGAGAGAGAGAGAGAGAGAGAGAGAGAGAGAGAGAGTAAACAACAAAAAATACAGTTTTGAAAGTTTTCTAGTCCGATTGTTTTTTTGGAAACCTGAAACTTCCCATAAAAGGTGTTATTTTTCTTTTTGATTTCGATTTTTTCCTTTTTTGAATATAAAACAATTTAGAAGGAATACTCAACATAGGAATGTCGGAAATTCCGAGTTTCAGAACTCCGGAAATCAGATGTATCGTAATCTCATTTTCTCATCACGAAAATACGAAAAATTGACAAAAAGAGTTCGAAAACACAATAAACAGAAATTATTTCCGCTTGAGACCTGCTATGAACGTTTCGCGCCTTTAGCATACAGTAGTCCAAAAAGCTCTAAATCCAAAAAGAAGATTTGAAATGATTCCGGTCGGGATTCCGAATTCCGTTTCGAACATCCCTGATTCAGTAACCAAATCTGTAGTTCAAAGTGATGCGTAAGGCTTATGATCATCGAAACTTCTGATGCCTATCTTACCGTAACCCAGATAAGTTATTTGAAAATGAGGAGAAGTCGTGTTAAACTGGTCAAAAGAGCAGCATCTAAAACTAGAAATGAAAAATGGGATAACAATGGAGTTGCATTCAAAGTTTAGTCAAAAATGATGAGCATACGCACACAGTTAGACACGCACAAGAGGAGAAGAAGAAGAAGACGACAACTCGTCAGAGTCAGGATAATTAAAGAAGTCCAGACCTCCATACACATACTCACTCGATGACATCCGGCTGCCTTCATTCCCTTCTTCAGACTTTCTTTCATTCCAGAACCATCTCTGCCTTCCAAAAGAATGAAAAAGCAAAAAAGAAAAGAAAAGAAAAAAGTACCAAACCTAGAAAGACGCAAATGAGAACAGGCTCACCTAATTACATGTGGGGGCAGCAGTCGCCGTGCTCCCCAACGACTCGTGAGATGGAGTAGAAAAGTAAAAGACAATTGTTTTCATTTCGCAAAACAAATTTCCGCTTTTCACTCTCCGTTTTTCCTTATCTTATTATCTCGGAAGTGAGTGGGCAGTTTCTTCTGCAACTTTTTTTTTTGCAGTGGTTACTGTAGGATTCAAGAGCTAGCCTTGAAAATTCAAAGAAAGGAAGATTCATAACTTTTCTGATAGACTTCGGATCAGGAAGTTCTGAATTGTCTATTGTAGTATTTTTCAAAATAGAAGACGTCAGAAAAAAGAAGTAAAGCTAAATTTCAAAAATAAACGTCATCCGAACGCCTAGCTACCTGATTTTTCCATGGTGATTCAAAAGTGTATCCGAGTGACTCTTTTATGACTAAATGGACGCAAATGAAGATGTCAAAGAAGTTCTTTGAAAAAAAAAATTTAAAAAACCAAAGTAGGTCAAAAATGTTCAGAATCTTGTTCTCTGGTTTCACTTTGGATTCTGACTCAATATGTGAACAACCGGCAACTAAAAAATGTTCTGATTTGCCAATCAGACCGGTAACGAGGCTTTAAAAAGGAGTATCATTGAAAGATTTTTTTTTGGAAAATCTAGAGGTACTGACATTCAACATTTTGTGTCCAGATATGAAAAATAACAATTCTCTGATAGATAGCGATAGATAATTATGAAGATTCAAAAAACATGGGTTTTTTTATGGATTGCAAGACTACCGATAATCCGTTTGCCCTGATAGAAGCCCATGGGATTTTTTTTTGGATTATTTGGTTGTTAACAGAAATTTCATAAAAATGACAATAACTAACGAGAACTACAGAAAGTAAAAAAACAGTAAACGTCTACATTAACCGAAAAGACGAACTCTACAAAAAAAAAGACCAACTGCAAAAATATATGGTAGTTTTCCAAGCAAGGGTTGTTGAGGATCATCAATAATCTCACAAAATTATTATTTTAGTTCTAAGATATTTATAAGAGTTCAGTTTGGGAAGCTGACCTAAAAATAGAGATTGTAGTACCAATTTCCCAGTTCATCAGAAAAGATTAAACAAGTTCAACCTAGTTCAATTGGATTATCAGTTTCTTTTTTATTGTTTTCGATTTGAATTTCGGTCTCAGATCAAGTCCCTTTTGTGTTTCTTAGTTTTGTGATATCTTATGCATTGAAAAACAGATAAGAAAAGGAAAATGACTGGAAAATGGAAGACGTGGAAAAAGTATGAGAAAGCGCGAAGACGTGGATATCTGTGGGATGAATCGAGTGCAAATAGAGACACTTCTACTGGGGTGCCAATAGAAAAAAAAGAAGCGAAGGGCACAATTAAAATATCGGGTGTCTCCTCTCATTCTCACTCTCGTTCTTCTTCTCTTCCCGCTTCTTTCCATCCATTTTTTCCTATTATACATTATATATGAAACAATATTTCATATTTTATACACTCGTGATGAATAATAGAGGTGCGATTCACACGGACATGAAGAAGGGAAGAAGAAGAAGACGCCGCCTTCTGTGAGCTTGAACAAAAAAAAATAATATTTTGCGTCCGGATAAAATACTGACGAAGAAGAAAAAAGCAAAGGATTATTAGTAAGGGAGAGCCCCTGACTAACTGATGATGATCAAGATTAATTATGTGTTGTGGGAGAAAAATTGAGATCTACGCGAAGAATCACATTTTGTTATGAACATGTATAGAAATCCGTTTTTGTGCTCGAGTTTTTCTCCTTTGCTGAAAAGAAATTTCAGTACATTTTTTATTGCAAACACAAATTTTACTTTTTTTTCACCAATCTTTGAAATACTGTCTCCATTGGAAACGAGACAAAGAGTCTGCATAGTAAAACTGAATTTCGAAAAATAAGGAAAGAAAGACAAAAAAAGCTGCATCCATTTTTTCTCAAGTAGTTAGGGAATCATGAGTCAAGTGCGTGGGATACTATATTTAGGTGGAAAACTTTTTGAAAAAAAATACATCTTCAGGAAAACAAGATCTCAGAAAAATGGACATCCTCCTCGAATTTCCTGATTAGATGCATCGGAAGCTAGACGATAGGCAGGATATGGGCGTTCATGGAATTTATCACGTTATTTGAAAAAGCGATTCTGATGCGGAACAAGAATAAATGTGACCAGAGTCAGAAGAATATAGAATTCAATATTAGGATACTATAGAGTTTAAAAATTTGAAAGCCCGATCTTATTAAATAGTTCCGTTTGTTTTCAAAAATAGGTCGTTTCCGAATTCAGGAAGGTAGCTCGATCATGAGAAAATACTGTCCTTGAGTCTGAATATATCGAATTCAAAAGTTCAGAACTACACGTGTTGGCTGTTGTTCCAAAATTCAATACCCGGAACAATGAGTCATGTGAGATGAAACTAGACTAGCTCCAAACATTCTTCATAAAGAAAAATATAATTTGCATTGAATTCAGTTTGTAGACTGGAAAATTTTTCGACAAAAAGAGTACGGAAGGCTGTGACACTGATGAATAATACATTTTTTTTGCATTTTCCTCCCGCTCCACATTATAAACACCTTTTGAATCAATTCTAAACCGAGCTCTTGATATTGAACAAGTTTGAACATACCGTAGGCACTATAATAGAACGCCACTTCTATGCTTGCCCTTGAGTTCAATTATCTGAATTTCTATGAAAAATGTTGAGCATTTGTCAACTGTTGAAATGTTTTTTCATAACATCACCAACATTTTATTAGTTAACACATTTTCCATATCTCTTATAGAAATTCAGATAAATGAGCTCAAAGGGCAATTATAGGGTGTGCTTCTACTAGAGTGATTACGGTATCTCTAAAATACCCAAGCTCTTCAGTCAATTTTGTTATTCATGAAATTGTCATACTTTTGATTTCGATTCAATGTCACTTGAATAACCATTGTGAGTTTTTATTGCAAATTACCGTAACCGAATGGCACAGAAGAAAGTAAGAAAGAGTCATTAAAGATACCATAGCAATCAATATTTGGTATTCAAAATTAATGAGGCAAAAAAGTGTTTGTTGAGGACAAGAAAATAGGTTTTCGACTAGAAAATGTCATAAACGTGTGGTTGACAAGAAAGAAGAACTGGACTGGGACAGAAAGAAAAAAAACAAATTGAGAAAAAAAGAGACCTGGTTATGGCTATGATTTAGATGAAGTTCTTGGAAAATTCAAAAATTGATATCTTTTTCGTTTATAGAAAAGCAGCGGTTTGTTGTTTTCTTCGAGTGGAATTCGGAATTCTTCGTCGATTCCGTTATCACGAATTTTTACAGGAGGAGAGTTTGCAGGTGCATGAACAACTGATGATTTGTTGACGATGACTGGAGAACGAACTGATGGAGGAGGAGTCTCCAATTCGACCTATAACCGAAATCCATGAATTATTTTTGCTTGTATAAGACGAGATTCTCCCAAAATGCAGAAAGTACCTGTTTTTTAATTGCTCTAGAAGTTTCTGAGAAATTATTTGAAAACTTTAAAAGAAAAACTCACTCTTCCGTTGCTTTCAACACTTCGTCGTCTCATTCTTCGTTCTCTTCGTCTTTCTCGTTCTTCTGGCGACTCGAATGCATTAAACGTTGCACTGATTCGTTGCGTATTCTGACTGTTTTGAACTCCCATCGATGTCGAATGTCTCATTCCGTAACTGTTATCATCGTTTCGATAGGCCGTTTGGTGTTGACTCGTTGGAGGAGGTGCAGAATTTTGGCGATTCGCAGTTTCATCAATGGACGTCGTTCTTGATAACCGACTACCAACACCGAGATTGTTGAAGGACTGAAAGAAAAAAGTGATGGTTGATTTCAAACTTTTGAGCTTACATTGATCAATCCCTTGAAATGACTAATAATACTGTTTGATTGAGGAGCTCCACAACTTGCCGTCCGATGCATTCCATTTCTGTCTTTTTCTGATCGAGATAGTCGGCGTTCTGAAATTAATCAGCTTGTTAACTATGAACTTTCTTTTTCCGTATTTAGATCACGTTGTATTGGAGAAGCTCTTGGATTCATTGGAGAAGATGGGGAGTTACCACCCGGTGATGTATTCGAGTCCATTGATCGTGGAGTTGAGAGTAAAGAAGCTTTTGGAACTGCTGAAAACGATTAATACTCAAAAGAGATCTACTAGAAATTTGACATACGGAATGCTGGATTCAGTCTTCCTTGAGCTCTTTCTTCCGTGTCTGCACCATCCATCATTTCTTCACAACTCGCGTCAAATGATCCTTGCCATTTGCTCATTATCGTCTGAGCAGTTCTCACATTGTTCGCTGAATTGTCATCCATTTGAGCATTTGTGTTATCGAATGACGAGATCTTATTTGTTTTTGCACCAGATTTATATCGGTTGTTGATGGATAGCTGAAATGATGCTAATATAGAAGGTTTTCGAATTCTATCACAAATGGAAAAAATTCAAGGTATGTCTAGACGATTGCCAAAGAACTCACCGTAATGGATTTATTACTCCTTGTTTTGTCAACAGGAAGTCCTGCAACCCTCTTAATAGAAAGAGAAGACTCTGCAACTTGTGCTTGAGTTTTCAAGATCGAAGATGGCAACTGGAAGTTTGCTTCAACATCTGCGGATCCTCCTCGATAGTTTTCTTCGTCACAAGCTGCGAATCTTGCGTTGACAGCATCAATAACATCCAAATTTACAGTTCCATATTTAGGTCTGAACATTAAAACTTAAAAAAAGTTTTTTGTAATACTCTTACTTTAGGAATTCGTGCCTTTTGTACTTTGGTTTCTCCGCCGCTTTTTCGTGTGCACTTTCGAACCCCGCCCCTAAATTTGCCATTTGTCCATTCGTTTGTTCGTCTTCATCTTCTCCCATTGTTATCGGTGCTTGCGTATCAAGAGCCCTGAACATTAATCATTAAATTAACAAGTAATCATCAAATACAATACCTGTTCTCGTTTCGTTGATCTCTGATTACTGCGGTCGTATGGGATTTCAATCTAGCTGATATATTCCCATTTGTTTGCTGTTTTTGTCTACTCGCCATGTTATCGTAACCCAATTCCCAATCGTACGGTTCTTCCCAACTGATGTCATTGCTGAAATACGAAATTTCAAAATAACACCTCAAAATTAAAGACTCACTCTTTGACGATTTTATTGAGAAGTGATTCCAAGTAGTTATAATCAGGAGTATCAGCATATCCGAGAGTTTTCAAATGAGCCGCAAAAAGATGTAATTCATTTGGACAGTCATCCAAAAGAGCATTCAAATCTGCTTCTTCTTTCATTTTTCCAACTTCATCTTTGTCTTTAATTTTTCTCCATGGCAACTGTCCTTGAAGAAACTCTGTGAGCATATAGAAAAGGGACCACAAATCATCTTGTCTTCCCATTTCCTTGTTCTTATGTGCAGTGACAGCTGCATATCTAACAGTCCCTCGGAATCCAGCCGCACTTCTGGGACTTCTGATTTCTCCTTTTGCATTCAAATATTGACGGGCAAGACCGAAATCTAACATGTACACATTTCGCATGGTTTGTGATGTTCGTCCCATTGCGAAGTTCGACTGAAATTTTAGATGAGATTTATGTTACTATGGTTCAAGTACCGTAATACCTGTAATACAAAGACTCCCCATATTGTCAAGTTTGAGCTCAATTATCTCAATTCCTATAAAAAATATAAGAAATGTGTCAACTTATAAAACGTCTTTGATATTATGTTAAACAATTTATCAGTTGACAACTTTTCCATATCTTTGACAGAAACCGAGAAAAATTAGCTCGAAGTTAAAAGCTAGCCCTTCTATTACATGTTTCACAGTAGGTTCTTTCAGAGAAAAAATGAATAATATTTAGGACGGGAAAGTTTTGTGTTTGTGGTACGAATTCTAGGAAAATTATGGAAATGATAATCTTACCGGTTTGACATCTCTGTGCAAGAATCCAATTGAATGAATTTCGCGGATCCCGTTTAGAATTTGTAGTCCGACTCGAACGGCCGTACTCAAATTGAAGCACTGTTTTGGTGCTTCTCTTCGCAAATCGGCCAGATTTTTGCCTTGTAGACTCATCACCAAGTAATTGAATTTGTCGTTTCGACCGCACCCGTAGAATTTACACGCGTGTTTTTTGCCTGCAAATCAGAACCCAGATATTGGATTGCTATTTTTCAGATGTTCAGAAGACTCAAAAAGGATTCAGTCAATGTTTTCAATGTTTTTCAACATGGTATAAGTCTTATTTTTCAGTTTTGTTACAGCATCAGCTCACCAACGAGACAGACGTAATTAGATTTTTGATGACAGCTCGAAAAAAAACTAAAAAAATAGCGTAAATGCGTCATAAACAGAAGACAGACCTTGGAGTCGTCGAAGAACTGCGACCTCCATTTTGAGCACTTGTTTCGTCGCTTTGCTAGATTCAACCTGGAAATGCTTGAGTGTCGAAATCCTTTAAATTTTAGTAGAAATACCTTTATTGCTACCCGTTCATGATGATTCTGAACATCTGTGGCCTCATAGATTTCTCCAAATCCACCTCCACCTATTTTCGCCTTCTGAAAAGAGATGATTCTACAGTAATTCTCTCCAGATAGACTCACTATTTTCCATCGTTCTCTGATGACCTGTCCAACTTGAAGAATCTCTCCTTCTGATGATGATGTCATTATTTCATCTCTGGAAAAAAATTGAAATGAGAAAATAAATGATCGAGAAAAAATGAGGAGGAATCTTTGAACGATGAAACGGCTATCGGAAAAAAAAACGAATGGGGAAGTGGTTGATGAGAATGGCATATTTTGTTGAAGAGGAGAAAAGTCGAATGGAAAACAGATGGGCGCCAGAAGAAGGAAAAGAAGAAGATGAAGCTTGGAGGAAGAAGGCGCTGCGGCGAGATGCCAGAAGAGTGACAAATGCACCAAGTATATGCTCCATGCTCCAAAATGGTTGGGGTAGACATGGTGGTGGTGTTGGGAAATGGTGGTGGTAGGGTCTAAGAGAGAGAGAGGGAGCCGCCCTTCAGAATGACCAGCCGAAAAAGTATCAAGCGAGCCAATCTTAAGGAAGAGTCCCTACTTGGAAAAAGAAAAGGAATACATAAGAAGAGGCTCTCTTATGGAAGAAAGTGTCCGATGGGGCTCATAAATCTCGTCTCGCATCGCCGACGTGTCACCTACTATTTCCCCATTTAAAAACGCATTTTTCGTTTCGGTGGGGTAAAATATTGACAGAGGCATCTGATCCATATGGTCAATTTGTCAAGTGCTCAAGTGAAGTTTTGGTTGAAACGGGAGTTCAGTAGGGATCGATTGGGAAAGGAGGAAACGAGAGTCGTAAAAGGACTTTTAGATGGAGTCATAAAATATGACAATGGGAACTTTCAGAACAATTGTAGCAAAGTGCTACCTGAGTCATAGAAAAAGAATCTGAAATTAACTTTTTCGCAACGGAGTTTTCGACAGATTCAAGTTATTCCTGAAGAAGAAACAAGGTGACAATTAATTCACGATTATTTTCTCACTGAAACTGCTATGAAAATGGGGAATTGCAATTCAAAAAACACAGAAGCGTCGAGGAACTGAGATTCAGGAATCCAAAATTTGAAGCATTTGAAAAAGAGAAAAACCAGTTTCAGTCAACCATAACTCAAAAAGCCTCCAACTACGGAAAAATCGAACTCAGAAACCAGGATCACTAGTATGTGTCTAAATAGGAACAAAATCAAGGCTAAGATATAGTCAGCTAACATCGCTGAACAGCAAGATTCAGAACCCCAGAAACTTATACCCCCCCCCCCCCCCCTTTAATCATTTCCCAATGTCAGAATGGAAGTGAACAACGAAATAAATATAAAAACGAAATCGATAGCCGTCGGGACGAATCTCGAGAAGAGAGAAGTGCCCGCATCCATGAACAGCTGACACACATTCTCCCGGTAGTTGAAGAAGCAAGAAGAGAAGCTCCCGTGAGCCCCCGCCAACTTGCTCCTGCTCCCTTCTTTTCCCGCGGTCCTAAGCTCTCTGATTGACGTGGCACCACCGGATGAAAAGGACTAAATACTGCGACTCGTCATGATCGAGGATTCAGGATGCACTGCAAAAGTGCTAAAACTGGAAAGGAAAAAGTGGAACTTCTAAAAATACTTTAAATAAGAGGGTGATGGTTTTTGATGATGTTTATGAAAACGAAGATGATGATGAATAGTTTCAATAGGAAGAATTATGCTTCATATGTGAGCGAAGAAAAGGGGTCCAGGTCCCGTTTTGTTTGGATGACCATGAATAAATAACAGTGGTAAAGTAAATGGAGATATAGAGACATAGAGACAACACGGGAAAGAAGACTTCACCAGAAATGAGTGTTAGTGAAAGAAAAGGGTCCGGCCGCCCGGTTTTGTTTGAATATGAACCAAAAGAAGGGTGACGAGATGTAGGAGATAGTATATAAAAGTTAGAGGGGGATGAGCGGTGTAAAGTGCATTAAGGGGACCAGCTATTCGGCCGTGAATAAACGAGGAACACGGGTCGGGATCGGATAATTGAGAGCGGAACGGAACGACGAATCGGACATTATAATCAGGAGATAAAGGACCATTGGACTCGGAAGCGAGACAGAGAAATTGAGAGAAAAGAAAATGACAGAAAGTTGAAGGTTGCGAAAAATAAAGAAAACAGAAGGATTAGGAGGCGCAGGGAAAAAGCAAAAAAAACAGTTTTCAGGTTTAAGGAAAATAAGACAACAAGGAGTAAGAATCATGAGCAATGACCCATTTATCACAATTGACAACCTTGTTTTCTGTTACTCTGTTACTAGGTGGAAATACGGAACAAAAACTGAGTAAATCGTTATTTTTTAACTCTCTATCAACGATATTTTTGGGAAGTTACGATTATTTTCAATATGCATTTTGGTCTTTTGTAAGGAGGAGAGAAAAGAAAGTGTTGTTCGAATAAGAAAAAAAGACATGCATACAAACGCACCTTGAATATTCAAATATCAAATTCAAAATATCGAAAATATAAAATTGGACAGGATTATCCGCTTTCATCCTACATTTTCTTAAATTTTCAGAAAAAAAGAGCTCTAATGATATTTTCTGAGGATTACTGTAGACCTGGGCCAAATTTGAAACCATAAAATTACTAATTAAAAGGTAAACCTAGGTTATATTCAGAATTTTAAACAAATATAATGTTTTGCAACTTGACTTCCAAGGCTAAAAATAAACGAATTCGTCAATTCGTGTGAAAGAAAATACTCGGAATGCATCAGAATAGAAAATGAGAACCAGAAAGAGAAAAAAATTAAAAGAGCATTTAAAGTGCTTTCTCCCCGGAAAACCCCTTGAACAATTTGAACTCTCAGGAGCAGAACAAAACGAAAAGGCCATGGGACCTTTAAATGAAATGGACCTGCTGGCACGGGCTTCTTTTTTTTGGTCCAAAAGATGAACGAAGACAGACATCAAATACTAAAAAAAGAAGAAATGCATGAGAAAGTGCAGAAAAATACTGTCGTTTCCTCAACTCGTCAGAATAGGACATACAAAAAAAGAAGCTCTTTTTGGAAGGATACATAAAGTGAAAGGATTACATCGCGGATTAGGAAAAATGGGTGGAAGAAGCAGAAGACGATGACACGTCAGGACACTTATATGTATGCGGGAGAGACGACGACGGAGCAATTAAAGTGACAGCCGGCGTGGAGAGTTGAGTCGCCTGAACATATTGGGTTTCGCATCGGACGCCTTCACGCTTCTAGAATTTCGTTTTTGCCGCCATACCAAACATAACGTGCATTCCTAATTCTAGAGCATATTGAGAAAACTAGAGAAGTTAGTACTTATAAAGGAATATGACCTAGGAACAATGTAGAAACCAGAACTGTACCTACAGTACCTGTCAATGAGATGCACACAAACGTTTTTTTTTCAGTTGATTTTGACTATTTTCAGAAGCCTGGAGTTCCGCGGTCTAGTGTCAGATCACTTTGAAAATTTTAGAGGGTGTAAAACAGACCTAGATTGAAAACTTTGAATTAACACCATTTTTCGGAAATCCCTAGTTTTTCAGCTATTTGCCGGTTTCTGAAAGACACCTGTCTTTAAAGTTTTCAGTACAAATATGGGTAAGAAGGCATCTTTCAGGCAAATATGTGAAAAAAAATTTTGTGAATGCAAATTTGTTCGAGTTTGCTGCTGGTGAAAACCTTAAGTTTTAAATCTAGGTTTGTTTTACAACCTCTAAAATTTTCGAAGTGATCGGAAATTTTAAGAACCGAGCTCCAGACTCCTGAAAAGAGTCAAAATCGCCTTAAAACCCCGTTTTTTCATATATTTTTAGCCTATGTATTTCTAAATTTCAAGCTAAGATATTTGATACAGAGAGACTTAGAATTTTACAGGGATTTCAGAACACTTGTAAAAACCTGCATCTCGAAATAAATCCTATAACAAAAGGGTGCAATCAAGAGATGTTGAAACAAAAGTGAAATATAAAAATGAAATGAAAGATTGTGTGTGTCTGTGTGTATGTGAGGAGGGTTCAATTCAATGACTCGTAGAAGAAAAAAACGGGGGGGGGGGGGGCAAGAAGAACGAGTTGGGCGCTCGTTGTGCCTAGCAGTCAAATGGTGATACAATCGACGGATAACGTGATATTGAGAGGTTGGGTGCGTAGTGCACATAGGTACATTTTGCCAGAGACAGAGGTCGATAGAGAGCATTTTGGTGCTCCCGAGCGGGAAGAAGAAAAAGAAGGTAAAAGCTGGTTGGATTGACGCTAAGCTTGTTTCCGGAAACCTTCCGCATTTATGCTCCGCGAGCGCGCAACAATGAGCAAAATATTGGCTTTTCAAAAGTAAAAATATTATTCTATATTCTTTCCTTTTTCATTAGTGAAATATAGATTATTTTGTTGAGTTCTTCACCTCTAGAATCTAGGTCAGAATCTCATTTTCACCTGTTTTCACCTCAAGAAAAAACCTCAAGAGTAAGGAAAACTACTGGAACATTAAGTTTTACTCTCCACCAGTTGTTTGTTGATGAAAATCTTGTTTACTTCGATTTCTTCCTCTCCTTCTCCTTATTACTATCATTAGTATTGTTATGGTTGGGAAGGCTGGAATTGGGGAAAGCAAAAATCAACTTGTTTTCGTTATTTTTCCTGAATAGGCCACTAGCATATTACACAAATAATTGTTAGTATAGCGGTTGCCTCCAGCCAACCGAAGAAAAGTTTGCAAAAGTGTTTCTCTCTGGGTGAACTCATCCCATAGACACTTGGAACAAAATCTTCCCCCAGAGAGAATACAAAATGATTTTGTATCTTCTTTCCAGCAGGAAGCAATGTCTCATACGCACTAAATCCAATAGACACAAAAGTTTTTAGCTTTTTTTCTACTCTTGTTCCTCCACTGGATTTATATTTTTTAATTTCAAAAACCTGAGAAAAATGTTAGAAATCATTATGCAAATCCGTTAAAGGAAATGATTGAATAATCGGATTTCTATCGTATTAAAGAAGTAAAAATTGTGCTTTGGATGCAAAATTATGAGGAAAAAAAGCGGCAGAATTCGTTACAGCTATTTTCAGCGTTAGTATATTTCCATCTGTTTTTCATAACACTTTTCAGAAGAACAAAACGGAATTCCAGGAAAGGAAAAAAAAAGAAAAAAAGAAAGTGGGAGGAAAATAGGAACAACTAGATCAACACACCCTAAAGAGGTGTGAAAAGAATGGGGAAATATGTAAAAAGAAGTATTGCACTGATGAATGAATAGAAACACCACCGATATACGATTCAGTGAGAGGCTTGTTAAAATTCTGGTTTTGAAAATCGAATGGCCAGTGAATTGAAAGCGAGAAAAGAAAGAAGTAGGTTTTTGAACGGGGCAGGAGGAGATAAAAAGGGAAAAGAAGAGAGAGAAGCCCTTTTCTACCCCCGCATTCACATACACTTTCTCTCAATCAAGCGACCCATTGAGACCGACTGTCCGGAAATTGTGTTAGGACATCCAGAAAAAAGAAAGGACTCTTCGTCACGATTGCACTGCTTTCAAAAAAATGAGCCAGAAACGCTTAGGTTAATAGATTTGGGGTGAAAGACGAAACAGGAATAATTAAGAGAGCTGCTCTCTAGAGCAGGTGAATTGTTTTTTTAATTAATCCTTTGATCCATCTAGAGATGCTTATCTTATGTTTCGTTGCGCAATATTATTGTTCCTCAGGTTTTGAACGTATATGTGAAGGCTAGTTATGGTTTGGAATTAGTTATATATAAGTGTTGGAATTTTGAAAGCTTATCCACAGTTTGTTGAAAGTTTATAATCTTTAATTCTACTTTGAACGGAGACTTCGACGAAAAACTTTTATTGCATTAAACTGATTTAAAAGTTACGTATTTTCCTCATAGTATAGCGAGAATATTATTAAAACATCCGAAATCCCCGAAAAACGCCATTGAATGTTAAAAAAAGGTCGCGAATAGGGACGAGGATTTGAGTTCCCGTGCGGTGAGAATCCAAGGCCACGGCGGCGGGACGCCTTTTTTATGTGGCCGACTATGGTTTTTTTGCGTTTTTTACATACCGTAAAATTTTTCCGTAATAATATTGGGGAAATACATAAATTTTCGTACATTTTAATGCAATACAAGTTTTGGTCGGAGTCCCCCTTCGAGTTTAAAGATCGAAGAGCTTGAGTGAAACATGGTTTTTCCAAAAATACACTTTTTGAAAACGAGGAAGTTCTGAGAGTGCCATTTGAGTAGAAACATAATAAACAAATCCGAATGTAAACATTCACCACCCAGAACACATTTCTCGTTGATGAAAGAAGAGAAGAGCAACTCAAAAGTTTTTAATCGCTGACTTCTTGTAGTTTCGTTTTTCTAAAAGAAGGCAACGAAGAATCCTCATGAAAACATTCATCATCGGGAGCAACTATACGAGAAAGACCCTTTCTGAGCTCAACTCGACAATACGAGGAAAAGGGACAATGAGAGAGTCTTCGAAATGCGCACACTCGGACGGGCGGGAACTCTTTTTTTCTTCTTCTTCCTGAATAAAATCACAGCAGTTCCTATAACGACCGAATCGGAAAAGGAAGCGTCCACCGTCGATTAACACGAATATGAGAGCGAGAAAGAAAAAGAAAATTTGCATAGAGAAAAAGTGTATGCCTATTATAAGATATCCGAGACAAGGGAGAGAAAATGGAATGCAATCAAGTTTACACGACGACGGCTTCTTTATTCCGAAAAAGGACGAATTATTATTGGCGGTTTTTTGATTGGTTGACAGACGACTGGAAATAAGTAGACAGGTGGCACGAATTGGTGTGTCGTACAACTAGTAAACGGAAAAAGGAATGGGGGTGAAAAGGAAGGAAGAGTGAGGAGAAAAACGAAAGAATAAGAGGGCGCTTTCGACAACTGAACCCCATGGGAAAATAACGAAACGACGACGACTTCTGGATTTCTGACACGATTTTGCTTTTTTTCTCGTCTTTTTGGTAATGAACCGGAACGTCAAACTTTGAGAAAACGTTTAGGTTCAGAAACTGGAACACACATTACTTGTTCCTCAGATTTATGTGAAATTTTACAGAAACGAGTACTACCGTACTTCCTCTAGTAGAAGCTCACCAAACCGTCCTCATTGAGATCAATTTTCTCGATTCTTGAGAAAGATACTGAAGTTTTGTCATCTGATAAATTACTTATCATAACATCACTAATATTTTATCAGTTGACAACTATCTTTTACAAGAATCGAGATAATTGAGCTCGAAGTTGACGGTTTGGATGCGCTGATTTTAGCGGAAATTCGGTAAATTATTCACATTTTTTTGAAAATCGGTTTGACTACGAGAAAGATAATACTTTTAATGAGAAAGATTCATTCAATTATTTACAAATCATTAGACCATTTTTTGGATGTTTAATTAATACAATCCGTTGTTTGTCCACTGTATTGGTTGGCGAGGTTCAATGTTCCAATATCGTATGTCTTGCCAGGAGTCTTTCCTGAGGAAACGTAGTTGTCTGGGATCGTGATTCCGATCTTTTTGTAGCAAAGTCCATTGTAGTTGCATTTGTGGTAGATGTTCAATTTTGGATCAATGGTAGAAATTTCGGTTTTGGATCCAGACAGACGGAATTGTCCGTTGGAATCGGAAGTAGCTTCCTCGAGGAGTACATCGAAAGCTGAAAAATCAAAAAAATTTATATTATCCGAGTTTAGAGATAAAACTTACTGGATTCTTTCTCATAGAGCTTCAGTTTGACTCCAGATCCCGGTTGTCCATTACAAATGAGACGTCCAGAAACAGCAACAGATTGGGTTCTTCCGATTCCCAAAAGGGCAGATGTGGATGAAATGAGGGCGAAGAGCAAGAAGAAGCATGTCGAGGAAACAGACATTTCTGAGTTTGAAAAACCAATGTCTCGTTCTGATATTTATAGTGAAACCACTGGGGTCGAGAGGTATTTGCTAAGAGCACAAAAAGAAACAAAAAAAAAGAAATAGTATTTGTTCATTTACTATTGGCACAAGTACGATAAACCATTCATTTTCATATTTTACATCCACAAATACAATCAAACTTTGTGATTTGTCGCTGTGGTTTGGCGCTGAACTATATAGGTTCCTTATTTGCTTCTCAATTGATACAGTCTGTAGATTGGCCTGGGAAATTGTTTGCCAAATTCAATGTGCCAATGTCGAAAGTTCGAGATGCTCTGTCTCCGGAAGTGACGTAGTCTTTTGGTATTTTAATTGTGAATTTCTGATCGCAAAGCTGCAAAAAGAGAGAGAGAGAGAGTTAAGCTAAATCGGAACGTTCAATAGGTCGTTACCCCGTTGTAATTGCATTTGTGATAAATATTTAATTTCGGATCAATTGTTGTAATTTCTCTTTTAGAACCGCTCACGATAAATTGTCCATTACTGTCAGTGCGACTTTCTTGAATCAATCGATCGAACACTGAAATTTCATTGAATCGATTGAGGAATAACTTCCCACAAACTCACTGATTTCATTCTCATACAACTTCAGTTTTATGTTAGCAGCAGGTCTTCCATTACAAATAAATCTACCGGATACTGCTACAGATTGTGTACTTCCGATTCCAAGAATATTTTTCGGGACGATATTCTCTACATTCTGAGATAGAATGCCAGCTGATAGACATAGTAAAACTACAAAAAATGTGACCATTTCGATCCAAACTACGTTTTTTCTTGTATCCACTTCGACCTTTTATACACCGATCTTTCATTCACAAGGTCTGATAAGTCAATATTGGTAAGTATTGCACATTCTTAAAGTGATTTTTTGTTTGAGAGAGCTACTGACTATGAGTTATCGTTGTTTATAGGACATTTGCCAGTCTTTTGATCTTTTTTTGGTGATGAAATGATGAGTGAACGATACTGGATAATGCAAACAAGTGCACATTTCAGATCGCGGGATGTGACTCACAACGATTTTACATTCGATTACATTTATTAGATTTTCGGGATACTTTTAAAGTGTGTTTTGTGTCAGAATAAACAATATTGGATACAGACATCAATTTTTGAATGACGCTCATCTCATTGGAAAGTCTTTGTAGTGATGGGCATTCAGCCCAGCCTATTTCGCCGAAACTTGCCGAGAAAGTTGTTTGGGGACGTTCGATTTTTTAGTTTTCCGCCCAACTGATATCACACTTACACCCAGCATGCTTAATTTCTCAATCGACGGACAACTGAAATGAGCAAAGTATATCACCCTAATATGGCATAAAATGAATTTCAGTGATTCAGAATCATTGAAATTGGAAGCTGGACTCCAATGTTAACAAATGAAGATCTACCGTAAACATTTTTTTCGATATTTGCACATTGATTTTTTTTTTCATTTAATTTTTTTTCAATTTCTATAAGAGGTAACAAAAATATGTCAAATGATAAAATTTTTGTCATAATTTCACCAACATTTTATTAGTGGACGCATTTTTCATATCTTTGATAGAAATTGAGATAACTTAGCTCAAAAGGAAGTTAATTATAGTTCGGCAGACAGTACTTGTTAAATAAGAATTTCCGTCACAATACAAATTGTTGCATCAAAGTATCATCAGTTTTCATAAAATTATCAGTGTTCAACAGAGATGATATTTTTTTTGAACTACGATGCTTAAGATAGATGTTATGATAACAAGTGTATCATGTAAATAATTTGTTGAAACTATTTATTTTTTTGCAAACATGTGAACTTCCGAAGAGCAAATATTTTTTACATAATATAAGTACATCACAATAATATATTGTGAAAAATAACAACGAAATCAAAAAATGATTAATTGATGCAATCAATTGATTCTCCAGAGTATCTATTAGCCAGATTCAATGTTCCAATATCATAAGTTCTTTCGGGCTGGCTTCCAGTGTTGACGAAATCCTTTGGAATCTTGATCGTAAATTTTCTGTAGCACAACTGAACGCAAAACGAATTTTACATGATTTTAAAAACGAATAACTCACTCCATTGTAGTTGCATTTGTGATAGATGTTCAATTTGGGGTCAATGCTAGTGATTTCTCTCTTGGATCCTGATAGTCGGAATTGCCCGTTAGAGTCAGATCTTCCTTCTTCCATTAGACGATCGAATACTGAAATTATAAATCAATAACAGATTTCGAAAATTCAGAACCTACAGATTTCGTTTTCATACAACTTCAGTTTAATATTCGACGCTGGGCGTCCTTGACAAATGAGTCTTCCAGACACTGCGACAGATTGCATTCTTCCAATTCCAAGGATATTTTTAGAAATTGTTGCATTCTCAGCTCCTTCGCAAAAAGCGAGAGCTAGAACGAATAGTAGAGCAAATTTAATGAACATGACGACACTTCGACTGATAGCTCTTCCATTTTTTGCTCCGACTTAAATACCGTTTTCCTTTGCATTCACATGTGGGGAATTTGTCAATATTTGTCTCTTAAAAGTGATTTTCGTCACTCGTTTGTTAGCTAAATTAGTTATGTTTAGAGATGTTTCTCACTACTTTTTGGTCTTTATTTGATACATTAATAAGTGGTTGACCGATCAAGAGATCGCTTAACAAACATACAATAACACTCGAGACAATTCTAAAGTAAGTGTATGTGTCATATTTATGACTCATAAGAATAAAAATCTGGAGCTATCTTTTGTAATGTATCAGTCACCGAGTTTCGTAACTTGAAAGGGATGAAATGTCCTTTCGAGAAGATCATGGCATAAAAAATTAGTAGGGATTTTGGTTTATAATTGGTGTTAATCCGAATAAAAATATTTTTTTGAATTGGAAGAAAAATTGGGAGAAACAATAAGGATAGTATAATGAAATCATACTTTGAACAGGTGCTTGCATTTTGTGAAATCGAAAAAATCTGAAATCGCTAAAAATAAACACAGTGAACTCAGGGTTGCCGAAAAGCGTACGAACGGCGGCTGAAGATTTGAGAGTTGTCTATAATTTGCGTCTTCAAGCGAATGGCAAAGTTTGTGACAAAAATTATGCAAGGAAATTATAAACGTTTCTCATTTGTTTAAGATCAGTGAATCAATTCAAAAACAATGACGTTCTCCCAGTTACTATTCTGAATTTAAACATAATTTTCAGATTATTTTTTCAGATTGTTCGTCATCTTCGGAACGAATCAACAATAATAAAATTCAGAAAATCGTTCGTTCTTGTCTTGAAATAAACATTTCAATTGTAATTCTCGTTGTTTTTTCACTTGCAAAGAATAAATCTATAACACCATTTGTAGATTATTCCAACCCATTGCTTTTTCTAGGTTTACGAATCAGGTTCTCTCCAGAATTTGATTTCCATTGTTCTGCATCCTTCAGTTCTAAGAGATCCAAGGAAGCAGCTTCCTGAGAAGAAGTTCACCACAGGTCATCTGCCATCAGTAAATCAATCATCTCAATTCTCGAATACTTTTCTTGTGTCAGGTGCCCAAAGAAAAGCCGCGCAGGCGATAAGAGAAACGTGACCCATCAGCTACTATTACACCGTTCATCGTGCCTTCTTCCTCTATTCAACGTCTCCTCATCTACCACAAAAAGCTTAGAAGATGAGGAAGAAGAAGATAAAGTTTTACGACTCATCCACATTGAGCACTTCAAAATGAATGCACTTCACATTTCTCTGTTTTTTGATGAATTGTTGATAACCAAAAACGAAGAAAAATGTGCACTTTTACAATGACAGATGTGTCCGTTCTAGTACGAATTACAGCTGCATCTGTTCATTTATGTCCCTCTGTACCATCAATTCACAACCACCTGTTTCGAATTGCAAAGTGGGCGGAGCGACGCGTCGTTTCGGTTTGATTCATTCATTTTATAGCTCCTTGTTTGAACGAATTCTCAGATAGAATGATTATCGTCACGCAATGGTACCAATTTGTCTAGGTTGTCAGTTTTCGAAATGTTCCATACCGGAAACATATTAGAGTTCTTCTGTTGTTTTTATCATTTCTTTTTGCTCATTAGAGAACAAAATATGAACAATTTTTAAGCAAACTGGTTTGAGTCTTCGAGGATACGATTGAAAAAAAATTCCAAATTTAGAAGCTATTAACTTTATTTTTTAAAAAACTAATCGTATGAAACTAATTGTAAGAAATTGGGCCTTCCAAATATCTGATTAACATAAAACCTGTATTAGAAGGACTCTAAAATTGAAGTTCCCCCTAGCCTAGAGACCCCACGAAAAATGGAAGTGATATCTCTAATTGAAGGGTCCCTCTATTTGAAACGTCTCGTTAGAGAACATGAAAAAAATAGAAGGGTCGAAACATAGAAAAATAGAGGGAAAAATGGAAAGCCTTCTAATACAGGTTTTACGGTATTTTAAGTACAATTTGGTTTTTAGTACTCGAACGAGTGATTGTTTTGGTTTAGACTTTTTGTTGTGGATTCGAAATTCTAAAGTTTATGAACGTTATCTTTGAGCAGACTTCCTCCACAATCCGGAGCATATAAAGTGGACAAGATCTAATCTGAAATAATATTTTCACAATTTCTAATCGCGTTAATCAACTCTTAACAATCTTCCTACTCATAACATCACTTGTCTTTGTTCCCCATCCAATATCACTATCTTTCTTCTCCTCTTTCGTCTTGCCACGTCTGAACGGTGTCAATCAACAGACACACCCCGATGAGACCCAAACGACACCTGCACCACAGCCGTTCTTCCTTCCTCCTTCCTTCAAACCTTCTCGCATTTCTCGGAAAAAAAGTTAGAAGGGGTCGGTGACCTCGGCGATTGTCTGCTCTCAAAGCGTTCAATTTCTTCGTGGGCACAGATGTGCCGATCATCTCGCATTTCATCGCTCACAGCGGTTTTAGTATCGTTCTTCCCTTCTTCTTCCATTCCGTCCAGCCGGTGTGTGTGTCATCTGAAGAATCGTAAACGTCTTGGTGGTGACCCTTTTCCTCTTCGTTTTTCATTCGTTCCCACTCTTCTCTTTGTGCAACATTGAATCATCATCATCATCATCATCTTATACACCGCCTGTCGGCTGTCTCGACCATCCGTTATTGAAACAGTAGGTGAATATTTTCAAGGCTGAGTTGACCACTAAAAGATAACCAATAACCAACTTTTTTTCTGAATTGGGTCAAGTTGGTTCACTCATCATCACCAAACCGAAACATTTTGATCCTTATGAATGCATGATCATTCCTCATTAATCACACGTTGCAGATTACTGTATTGTCCACAACACTTTAAACTTCGCCTTGTTTACCAATACAAATCGTTTCCAGTCCCATTTTGAGAGGCTTTTTTTTCACTTAAATCTGTCAAAAAACTGTCTTATCGCCGGTATCATCTTCTTTCGTTATCAGTGCATTTCTGAGAGAACTTTGCCTTTTTCTCTGCTCCATCCATAATTTCTTCAATCTCTCATCCCGTTTTTCCCGATTATTCAATCAAACCGAGTTTACCTTTTGACTGGGAACACTATGTGGTTGTTAAATTTTTACTCTAATGTATACAATTTTTCGTTTTTTCATATATGTTGCATAGTGTTGTTTGTTTCGTTTTTTTTCACCCTCTTCCTATACAACCTTGGATAGTAGGAGGACCTATTCGAGTGGAAGATTTCAATGCCCTCTCCACTCAATTACTCCTTACATGTTAATACAACATCATCATATATACAATGTTTTTCTTTCTCGTCATCTGGATTTTGGCACGTGGCAATTTTCCATAATTTCAGGTAACATGAAACACAAAAAAGTGTTGATATTACTATTGCTCTCATTACTATTAGAAACGAGAGGGGATGGCACTCAAGAGTTTTATCCATTCGGACAGCCGGCTGGAGATACTGTAAGAATCTAACAGCTGACATTATATATCTTTTTATATTTTAGAGACTGAAATACTCATTGGATCAAAGTGCGGTTGCTCTGAAGACCCCTCTGATCTTTCTCCAGAAACCCATTGATGAGATCTTCTTGTCCCACAATGGAATCATTGGATTGGGAAAACCAGTGCCCGAGAAAAATGAAATTCTTGCAAAGATTCCGACTCCAGCAATTGCTGTGTTCTATTCTCCGGTTGCCAATGGAAAGATAGATTATAGAGTCACTTCCGATGATCAAGGACTTTTGGCAAAGCTGACTCAGGATGTGAAACAGGCTTTCACAGATGCTGTTGATTTCCATGGACTTCAAGCTGTTGTGATTACATGGAGTGATATTCAAAATGCAGAACAAGATGGACCAGCTAGTTTCCAGGTATGTTGGGGTTTGAAAAAATAATAGAACAATACAATAGTTGTCGGATTCACTACTTTCAGAATATTTTTTTCGTATGTCCATTGTAATTTTCAGATCGCAATCGTTACTGATGGAATATCCACTTATTGCATCAACCACTATGGTGCTCTTCCATGGTCATCTTCAATGGGATACTATGCTCAAACTGGATTTGTTCGTTCGGTTGGGCAAATTCAAACAAATGTGAATTCTGGAGGTCCAGATGTCAAGGAACTTTCTTCGTAAGATCCATCTCAATAATTTGGGTGCAAAAAACGATTTCAGATTGTCAAATAATCAATTCGGTAATTCTTTCATCTTCCGAATTTCTGGAAATTCAATAGAAGACCCAAAGGATGATGGAACAGACGAGTATGACTACAACAATTACGATCAAGAATACGAAGGAGAACAGCGTACGTCCTTTTCTGAAAATTATTTTTTTGGACTAAAATTTTTATATTTCAGCAGCCGATTGTCCAAAAGATAAGTTCGTTGACAATTGTCCAGCTGAATGCAGAACTGTGAGAGATGAGAGAGGATGTGAAAGATGTATCTGTGCAGAGAGACCAAATGCTCCACCAGTGCCACAAGAACCAAGACCAGAGTTGGAGAATACGGTAGACGATGACGATGATGAAGAAGAACAAGTGGATGGTACGAGATATCAGGAACCAACAAGAGAGCAAGAGCAACAACCCCAACCACAACACAATCAGCACCATCAGCAATCAGCAGGACAAACAGCTCAAAGTGAATTTTTTGCTGGAAGAATTAAAATCTTAACATAAACCCGATTTCAGAAATGTCGTGCTCTCAAAGAGATGATAAGAGCTGTCATGCTAATTCTGTCTGTCAAGATTTGGAAGGTGGGTTCTGTTGTACCTGTGACACTGGATACTACGGAAACGGAAAGGAGTGTCTTCCAAAAGGAGAACCACAGAGAATTTCCGGAAGTTTCGAAGGCGTTATTAACAGAATTCCAATTGATAAAACGGAATTGCACACTTTTGCAACATCCACAGATGGAAATGTGCACACGGCAGTTTCGAAGGTATCGGCCAAAATCTGCTTCGTGAAACTGTAACTTCGTTTTTTTTTCAGATACCATCTGATCTCGGTCACCCACTTCTTTTCCTCTACTCAATCGGTGGTGTTATGGGATGGTTGTTTGCTGATGTTCAGTCTCCAAATGTCTACAATGGATTCCAATTGACTGGCGGTCTGTTTAATAGAACCGTTGCAATTCATGTTGGACAAAACAACTATGTGACACTTAAGCAAGAATTTTCGGGAAGAAATATTCATGATTACTTCAAATCTCACTTGTTCGTGTCTGGAACACTTCCAGATATTGCTCCAGGATCTGAAGTGATTTTCCCAGATTATGAGGAGGAGTATGTTAGAGAAAGAAGAGGTGAGTGGTTTGAATTAATAATGAGAACAAAACATTTTCAGACAGAAATAGATATATTGAAGGAATAGGTGATGATTGAAAAAACAGCTTTTGTTTAGTTTCGGCTCAGTTTTTTTCAGTTTTGAGCACTTTATTTTTTTAATTTCTCACTTCCTACAGCACTAGTGAAGCTTAAAACTGTATAAATCGTAATGCTTATTTTTCAGGATACCTCACATCCCGAGCTGCCTTTGATGTCATTATTCGAGACGGTGGAAATACGCAAACATACAGAATGAGTGTTGAGCAACAAATCACTTTTGAAGAATGTCCATTTAAGGAGGTTAGTTAAGTTTGAATGATCCATGGAGCACAATTCGATTATAGTTTGACCGTGACCACTCCATGAAGCTTCATGTGAAAAGAATCAATGTTGTATACAACGCCGACGAAGGCGTAGTTCGTTATGGAGCCAAGAATTTTGCGACTCGCTCAACTAGTCCTGCATCAAACTCAGCCCCATCTGGTGGACACTTTGATCGTCGTCAACATGGTCAATCTCAACTTGCTTCTGAACGCCCAATCGAAATTCCATATAACAATGAGGCTATTAGCAGCGATTCCGTTTGTGCTCCTGGAAGACATCAATGTACTCTTCCGAATATGAAATGTCGTGTTGTTGATCCATCGTACCGTTGCGAATGTGAACCTGGATACCAAGCAACCCATGATGCTTCATCTCATATTGGATGGATCTGTCAGGATTTGGATGAGTGTCAGAGAGGAGATCATAACTGTGACCAACATGCGAAATGTACCAATCGACCAGGAGCCTTCAGTTGTCAGTGTCTTCCAGGATACCAAGGGGACGGAAGATCTTGTATCAGAGAGCAACATGCTGGTCACCACGAACATCATCAACATCAACAACAGAGTCAGCATTCCGGAGTCGGAGCCACTTCCGAGGGACTTTGTACCGCACATAACCAATGTCATCAATGGGGAGAATGTGTGTTCACATCAGAACATCCAACTGGAAGATGTAAGTGTAGAGGATGGTATGTTGGAGATGGAGTCAATCATTGCGGACCACCAGAGGAGAACAAACCAAAACACAATGCCCATATTCCACAAAACAGAGGACAAGCATGTGGAAGTTATGTTTGTGATGTGAATGCTGAATGTATGCCAGAGCCAAGTGGAGGAGTGAGTTTATTAGCATTATAAATGTTTTCTTAAAATGAAGATTTACAGTCGGAGTGTGTATGCAAGGCAGGATTCAGTGGAAATGGAATCACTTGCGAGAGTCTTCTTGAAGACCGACACGCCCATTCTTCTCACAATCGACATGAACAACAACAGCAAACTGGATCTCTCGGTAAGACATTTCACTAGGTTTTCTGATCAAATGCTTCTATAGGAAAAGTGTGTCGCTCTCACGAAGAATGCTCTGAGCACGGAAGTTGCGCGTATCATCACAATCTTGGATACTATCAGTGTGCTTGCACAGAGCCATACGTCGGAAACGGAGTGGATTGCACACTTCCAGGATCTTCTGCTTCAGGTATGTTGCTTAAGCTATCCTCTCCCTATACCCTTATCCCCTGGCTTTTCCCACAATATTCTTTCCCTTTTCTATCACCCAACTCTCCCCCTTTTAGCATCGGACCTTGGTTGTGATGTTACCCGTGATTGCTCTGAATTCGCTGATTGTGTCTATGAAAGATCTTCAACGGGCGCCACATTCCGTTGCGTATGCCAGTCAGGATACACTGGAGATGGAAAATATTGCATGCAATCTCAGCTAGCTATCTCAGCTCTTTCACCTGCTGGTCAGTATCCCTCATGTTTTTCCCCCAAACACGTTCCCATCCCTTTCAGTTCCCCAATTACAAAGTCAACCATCGGTTCAATCAATCGCTTCTTGCGATCCAAACTGTGGAGCGGATGCTCAGTGTGTGTATGATGAACATAACAAGTAAGATATTTCAATAAACTAGAACCACCGCAGGTTAAAAATTCAGACAATATCGCTGTGAATGTTATACTGAATTCGTTGGAGACGGCTTCAACTGTGTTCCATTGGCCAAACCAAACATGGTTCCTGCCGAACCAAAAACATGTGTTGAGTCATCAGATTGTCACAGCAACGGTCATTGTGTCATCGATGAAAATGGTGCTGGAGAATACATCTGCAAATGTCTTCCTGGATTCCGTGGAGACGGTTTCTTAAACTGTCGTGGAGCTGATCAATGCAACCCATCAAATCCAAACGCATGCCATCAAAATGCTCATTGCGCCTACGATGAAGTTCTGACAGCACATGCCTGTAAATGCGTGGACGGGTTCAAGGGAGACGGTGTTAACTGTGTTCCGTATGCTCCTGCCACAAACTGTAATCTTGAACCAAGAATCTGCCACGCAAATGCCCAATGTGTAATGCATCATACTACAGGAGCCTATGAATGTATTTGCAAACCTGGATCTTCTGGAGATGGATACAAATCATGCGATGTTATGGGTAGGAATTCTAATAAAATTTATCCTACACAAATAAGTTCTTTTTAGATACACCAAGATGCACAAACTGCTCCGTCCATGCCTATTGCGCTCAGAACCAAATGACAGGTGCCTATCAGTGCAAATGTAATGCTGGATATAATGGAAATGGATATGTTTGTGTCTCGATGAGCTCTTGTCTTGATGATCGTTCGCTTTGTGATTCGAATGCTGATTGCGTTCCTGGAGAAGGCGGACACTACGTTTGTAACTGTCATTACGGATATCATGGAGATGGAAAAACATGCTCTCGTAAGCTATTTTCAGAAAATAATAATTCAGAAAACAAAAACCATTTCAGCATACTTTTTCTCAATGGAAATCAGGTCAAGATCATCAAGAATCTTTGATCCTGAAATATTGCTCCTTTTCATATTTATCAGGTTCCTAAACTCATTGTGTTTGTCTTTCACTACCTTTGTTGGTATTTCCCTAGCCACATACACCCATCACACCACTTCGTTAGCTCCTTTTTGGGTTTTATCTGGGTTTCTTGGTTTGTGTCAACTTTTCCCACATTTCTGAAATTTTCAGCAGACTCCTCATCTAGAACTGACAAGCTTCTAGTCGCACGTGGAATGGCCATTTTCAAACGCTCAACAAATCCAGACGAGTACGGAAAACAGTTGATTGTGATCCCCCATCATATCCCAGTTGGCATTGATTACGACTGCCAAACCGAGAAAATTGTCTGGAGTGACATGTCTGGACATTCCATTCGCACTGCTTCCATGAACGGAACAGATCACAAATCATTCTTCAGCAAGGAACTCAGCAGTCCAGAAGGTATTGCTGTGGACTGGTCATCGAGAAATGTGTATTATGCCGATTCAATGAACGACGAGATTGGAGTGGCTTCGCTCAATGGTAAATTCAAAAAGTCGTTGGTCACCGAAGGGCTCGTCAATCCTCGTTCTGTTGTTCTCGATCTCTACGGACGTCATCTGTATTATTCTGACTGGCATCGTGAGAATCCATATATCGGAAGAGTCGATATGGATGGAAAGAACAATCGAGTATTCTTGAATGAAGACATCCATCTTCCAAACGGACTCACCATTCTTCCAAAGAGAAGAGAACTCTGCTGGGTGGATGCAGGAAATCACCGTTTGTCGTGTGTCCAGTTCAACGGAGCCAACAGAAGAACTGTGTTCAGCAGCCTTCAATACCCATTCGGATTGACTCATGACCAAGAGCAAAAGTTCTATTGGACCGACTGGAAAGAGTGAGATCATTTCCATCTAATTCTAAAACCAACTGTCCTATTTTTCAGCAACCGAATCCACTCCGTAGGTGTTTATGGAGAGGGATACCGCAGTTTCCAAATCTCTCTTGGTGGTTCCGGAAAGGTCTTCGGAATCCTTGCTGTTCCGAAATCATGCCTTGGACCCAATACTCCTTGCTCTGAGAACAACGGAGGATGCGAACATCTCTGTCTTCCAGGACAAAACGGTGCTGTTTGCGAGTGCCCAGACAATGTCAAAGTGAAGGGATGCTAAAAGGGGTTCAATCTGATCCGACACTGCTAATCTTACCATTATCATTATTATTTATTTTTTTGTACTACGGTGTACGTTCAATTTACTTATAATTCTGCCCCATCCATGAAAACTGTTTTCCAAAAGCAAAAAACTATGACTTCCTTCCGTATTTCGTTCTCCAAACCATGTTCTTTGTGACCCACTTAACAGTTCTCTTCAAACATCATCTTGTAATTTTGCTTAATTTCTGATAAAACTTCACTTTTCCTTATTTGCTTCAGTCTATTCCTCTAGATCAAACTTCAAATTGTGCCGGGAAACAGGAAAAATGGGCGGAGTCGAGGTGCGGGGTGCACAATTCAGGGACAAGAAGATCGTGATAAAAGCATGGTCGGCAACGTGGTTGATAACAGGGAAACCACAAGCTTCATTCAGCTAGACTCTCGGGGCTATGAAGTCGTGGGGTACAGTTCTGTTGGCTGTGCTTGCCACGTCAGCTACAGTTTACAGTCATGATGCTGATCCAGAGATGAAAATGACTACGGTAGGTTTGAAAATAGCTATCTAGATTTTCAAAACATCATTGAAATATTCTATTAGTTTAGTTTGCAATCTATAAACTGAGATCCTTCAGTTCTGAATTTCAGCCCCAAATCATCATGCGGTGGGGATATCCAGCCATGATCTATGATGTTACCACCGAAGATGGCTACATTTTGGAGTTGCACAGAATCCCCTACGGAAAGAGTGAGTCCACATCTTTATACCTCAAAATAACCCAGAATTTTCAGCAAACGTCACATGGCCAAATGGAAAGAAGCCAGTCGTTTTCATGCAACACGGATTGGAATGTGCATCTGATAACTGGGTCGTCAATTTGCCGACTGAATCTGCTGCATTCCTCTTCGCAGATGCTGGATACGATGTCTGGCTCGGAAACTTCCGTGGAAACACCTACAGTATGAAACATAAAAACTTGAAACCATCGCATTCTGCATTCTGGGATTGGTCATGGGATGAGATGCAAGAGTACGATTTGCCAGCTATGATTGAAAAGGCTCTGGAAGTCACTGGACAGGATAGTTTGTATTACATGGGACACTCACAAGGAACGCTCACCATGTTCAGTAGGCTTTCTAACGATAAAGTTGGATGGGGAAATAAGGTATTGTTTTTCGTATGTGGTAATTTGTTCAATTTTCGTAAATTTCAGATCAAGAAATTCTTCGCTCTGGCACCAGTTGGATCTGTTAAGCACATCAAGGGAGCTCTAAAATTCTTCGCTGAGTACTTTGCACCAGAATTCGATGGATGGTTCGATGTATTCGGATCAGGAGAGTTCCTTCCAAATAACTGGATCATGAAACTTGTCTCTCAATCCGTCTGTGCTGGACTTAAAGTGGAAGCTGATGTTTGTGATGACGTCATGTTCCTCATTGCTGGACCAGAATCGAACCAAGTTAACGCTGTAAGAGAACTTCCAGCCAGATGTCATAAGATTTCATTTCATTTTCAGACTCGTGTCCCAATCTATGTTGCTCATACTCCAGCTGGCACCTCCACCCAAAATATCGTCCACTGGATTCAAATGGTCCGTCATGGAGGTACTCCATACTATGATTATGGAGAGAAGGGAAACAAGAAACATTATGGTCAAGGAAATGTTCCATCCTATGACTTCACCAATGTGAATCGACCAGTCTATTTGTATTGGGGAGATTCGGATTGGCTTGCCGACCCAACTGACGTTACTGACTTCTTGTTGACCCATTTGAACCCAGCAACAATTGTGGTAAGTTTTGAATTACGTTATTTTTAGTCTTCATTGATTCCTTTTTCAGCAAAACAACAAGTTGACTGATTATAATCATTTGGATTTCATTTGGGGACTCAGAGCTCCAAAGGATATTTACGAACCGATCATTGAGATCATCCGAAAAGATGTTATCAATGGATCCTGAATAATTTTTTTGTATAATTGTTTCTTTTTGCTGCCATCATGCCAGAAATGTGTCACTGAAAATTCATTTTTTGTGTAAATAATAAATTATTGTTTACTTCTTTAAAACATTCTTCATTTTTTCGAATTGAAATATATTTCGAAATCCCAGATACGAATTTTTTAGAGAAGCAGCTAATGATGCTGTATTATTTTATGACTGCTTGAGTACTCAGCAAACTTCATGATCTTTGTGTGACTCTGACGACTTTTCTTGTTTTAATTGGTTGTAACAGGGTGTCATGGATGATGAAAGTGATAAGGAATCACACGGTTAACACATTGCAACCATCCGAAAAGAAGTTCAGGAACTTTCCGTTTTTCAGTAGTTGGAAAATGAAGGGAGGTGTTGGAGAAGCTACATAAGATGTGACTTTGTGTTGTATTCGAAACATAAATGAGGGCTTTAAAGAAGTAGGATCTTTTCGCACAAATGGGAAAGGTTGTGTTGGTTGCTCAGTTTCAAGAAAAAAACTTGAGCATAGTCTTCTCCAATGCCGCTCAAAAAAAAGTTCATCGTTTGAATAAATGAAGACAACGATAGATTTTGAAATTTCAAGAATTTTGAAATTTCAGAAATTTTTCAAATCTTTTAGATATGTTTTCAAACGACACTCCGTTCTTGGTGGAAGCTTGGTGAAAGCTTCTTGGTGAAAGCTCGAGACAAAACGGGCTGGGTCTTGAAAATTCTGAGAAAAAAACCCGACTCGGCCCGTTACAAGTATGAAAGTTTGTGAAAAGCCAAGCGTAGGAACAAGGCTTATATACCGATTCGGTTATTTCTTAACTGTAGTTTGACTACAAGCAATTCAATATCGAAGACAACAAGGTAGTATTCTTATGTGTATCTTGTTATCGAAAGTTGGAAATGTTACATTTCAACTACCGTATTTCCTCTAATAGAACCTCACCTCTATTTGAAGCCCACCTCCAATAGAAGCCCACCCTGTGACGTGCTTAAAAACATAGAAGCGCATCCTATAACAGAAGTACGGACAGTTCAGTTAGTGCAGTTTGAACAGTTCAGTTCGCCTATTCGGTTATTGTAGACATTTTCTCTCTATTTTAAAAAATTTCTGGCAATTTCAGTTTTTGGTAATCTCCTAAAAAGGAGGTAGAGAAAAAAAAGCCCATGGGCTTCAATTAGAGGAAATACGGTATTTTATTCTAACCAAATCATTATAGATTCAATTTTTTGAAGTTTCATTTTTCGGAAAAAAAGTTGTTTTGCCCTCGCAAAGAGTATCTTTTTTTGCCCGCAATTGTTATCACTGATAAACCAACAGAATAATCATAGTTTCAGAAAATTAGAAATTCATATTTTGTAGACTTCATTTTCAATGTATACTCCGTAAACAATCTAATAGAAAGTTCTGAATCAGAGCTGGGACTTTGCATTTATATATTGTTCTGTTTTTACGAACTTTTACAGATTTTGAACCCGTAAATTTTACGCCCAGTCCTGTTCTCAATGCGCAAGAGAAGACTACATTCTAGCCGACCAAAAAGAGATGGGAATAGTGTAGTGACGTTATCATTGAGAGATTGTGGCCGTATTTATATGTTCTTTCAATGTTCGCCAAGTTTCGTTTTTGAAGTCATTCTCGAATCTTTTTTATAAAAAACCTATTTATTTTAAACATGTTTCAGAAAAATGTCGAACAAGTGCCACCGATTTGAAGGGAAAGTAGCAATCGTGACTGCGGCTACAAAAGGGTAGGTATTATCAGCTTATTGATTATTTGAAACAGAAACGAAAATTACAAAAAAACAAATATCTATGACAGAAGATTGAATTTTTAGAATCGGTCTCGCCATTGCTGAAAGACTTTTGGCTGAAGGAGCATCAGTTGTTATTGGAAGTAGAAATCAGAAAAATGTAGATGAAGCAATTGAGTATCTGAAGAAAAAAGGATTGACAAAAGTAGCTGGAATTGCTGGACACATTGCAAGTACCGACGATCAACAGAAACTCGTTGATTTCGTTAGTTTTCTTTCTGTCGTCAAAATTCCAAAGTAACATTTTAGACTCTTCAAAAGTTCGGCAAGATCAATGTTCTTGTGAACAACCATGGTATCAACCCAGCATTTGGTCACATTCTGGAAGTCTCTGATCAAGTTTGGGACAAGTTATTTGAAGTGAATGTGAAAGCTGGATTCCAAATGACAAAACTAGTTGCTCCACATATTGCGAAAGAAGGAGGTGGCGCGATTGTCTTCAATTCATCGTATTCTGCATACAAGAGTCCACCAGGAATCGCTGCTTACGGTATCACCAAGACAGCTTTAGTTGGTCTCACCAGAGCATTGGCAATGGGATTGGCGAAGGATAATATCCGAGTTAATGGAATTGCTCCTGGAGTTATCAAGACCAAAATGAGTGAAGTGGTAGGATTTTTATTTTTATTTCCTAGTCTCAATTTTGAAAAATATAATGTTTCTCAGCTTTGGAACGGAGGCGAGGAATCTGAAAAGGATCTGACTGATGCTCAAGAGATTGCTCTTGGCAGACTTGGAGTTCCAGAAGATTGCGCTGGAACTGTTGCATACTTGGCATCAGAAGACTCTTCATATATCACTGGAGAAATGATTATCATTGCTGGAGGCGTTCAGGCACGTCTTTAATTCCCTGATCTTCCGTTCCCTATATGACTACTTTTTCTGCGTATCACTTCTTAATAAATCAGCTTTCTGAGTTGTTTCGATTGTTTGCTCATAAACCCCGAAATTCATAACACCTAGTGATGGTTTCCACTAGATTTCCGGTGTGAATCTACCGAAATAATCGGAAATCGAATGAAAAAGGAGGAGGCGCCAAACGATTTGACACTATTTGCTCTGACCGGCGGCGCCCAAATCCGCCTCGGCCTGACATTTGCACTCCAGGTGGACACTGATCGAATAAGAAAGTCTGCAGCCATTCATTCATTTGATGTGCCCAGATGAAACGAATCTTTCTATGTTGGCTTACCATCGCCACAACTCTTCAATTTGTCTCTGCCAAACGATTTATGAAGATGTTCGCAGATGCTGGAATTGGAATTCATTGTCCTTCTGGTAACGTTTTCTCTACTCCGGAGCAATCAGTTATTTTTTAACTTTTTAGGGAATAAAGTGTATATTCATCCGATCAGTGGAGACCTTCAGTTATGCAAACAACAACTCGGAGTCTATAACGAGACAAGTTGTCCAGGTGGAACAGCTTGTGAGAGATTTCCAATATTAATTCCTGGTTTTCAAGTGAGTTCTTGTCATTTTTGAGTATATCCCAAAATTGTTTTGCGTTTCTAGGATTACTGTTGTTGGTCCGAAATAAATCCAGAATCTGAATCTTCAACAGAACTGGAAATCGTACCTCCTCCAATGTCAAAATTGAAACCTGGAGTTACCGTTGAACCGATAGATGAAGAAGAAAAAGTGTTCCCAATCGACGAAGAGGAGGAAGAAGATTTGAAAATAGAACAAAAGAAATCAGCGAGAAAGAAAATCAGTGAAGAGGAGGAAGAGGAAGAGGATATTGAATGGGAGTTCGAGACAACCACCGTGAAACCAAGAAAAACAAAAAGTAGGAAGGTTCCAGTAATCACTACAACAGAACCACCAATTATGGAAACAACAACTGTGAAGTGAGTAAGGATTCGTGATCGTTTTCTAATTCAAACTTATTCAGAATTGGTCCATCATCTCGTCGTCCACAGTGTAACGATCCGAATAAAACTGTTCTAATCGATTATGGTAATCGATTAAGAGATTGTTATTTCACAGTAAGCTTTGTATGTTGTTCCTGAGCAATTCTGCAATTTGCAGCAATGTCTTCGAGGTTTCAAATGCGAATTCAATAGAGAAATTCGAAGATTCATCTGCTGTGGAAATGAAGTTGATGTGCCTCCAGCTGGATTACCACCTATTCCAGAACCTTCCCCGGTTATAAAAAGACGACCGTTCCGACCGAATCGCCCTTATAATGATGGAGAAGAAGATGAGGGAAACGTGGATGGGGAGAATCGAGGACCGAGAAATCCTATCGTTCCATTCAATCAAGGTGGTCAATTTCAAGGTCCTATTGGTCCTCCAAAAGTGGAACCAATGATTGAAAATAATATAGATTCGACTGCAATTCCACATCCAAATAAGAAAAGTAAATATGATGAAGATGATGATTATGAAGATGGAGATGGTAATGGACATGGAGGATGTGGAGGGAATGGGTGCACTTATGGAAGAGGAAGAGGTGGAAATCAGAATTCACGAGGAGGATGTGAATTAAATTGTAGAAGGAATGGAGGAAACAATGAAGGATGTGGAATGAGCTGCAGAAGAGAAAACGGAAATAATGGGAATCGAGGAGGGAACAGTCGAGAATGTGGGAACGGAGGATGTCCGTGGAATGGAAACAATGGAGATGGGAAGCGCCCGAGACGACCGAGACCAGATACTGATTATGAAGAAAATGAGAATGGATGTGAAGCTGATTTAAGTGGAATGAATGGAGGAAGGAATGGTAATAACAATGGACCTGTTCCACCAATTCCTGAGCCAAAGCCCTTGTGTAAAGGACTGCAATTTAAGAAATCTGGTAATGGAAATGGTAATGGAAATGGAATTGGAAACAGTAATAGTAGCAACAATAGGAATAATGGACCACCTCCAAGGAACAATGGAAATGGGAATGGGAATTCAAATGTAAATGGAAATGGAAATGGAGGAGATAGACCAATGAAACCAACACAAGCATCAGGATCTGGATCGAATCGAAGAAATGGTCCTCCTAGAAATGGAGGAAATTCTGGAAATGGTAATTCAATGAATAGGAGTGGAGGGAATGGTAGAAGAAACAACAACAGCGGGAACAACAACAACAATAATGGAGGAGATAGTAATTACGGAGGAGGCGGGGACAACTGTGATTTTGAAAATCGTTGTGGATTTGGGAACGGAAACGGACATGGAAACGATAATCAGAGATTTAGCAGTAGAAAACGTGAGTGATTTTTTGATATACACTACCAGTCAATGAAATATCAGGAATGGCGCTCGCTGTCAAGTTACCGATCACTTCTAAAAATTTTGAAAGTTGTACAACAGACCTGAATTAAAAACTTTGCATCCATAGAAACTATGGAAACTTTCTAGTTTTACAGATGTTTTTGTGTCTTTCAGAAATCGGCAAAAAAATTCTGTGTATCTAAAGTTTTCCACCTATTTCTGTTCTACACCCTCCAAAGTTTTTAAAGTGATTGGAAACTCGACAGCCAAGCTATAGGCTCCTGAAAATGGTAAAATGACCAATCGTCGGCTGAAAAATACGCTGTTGTATATCGTATGGACCGGTACTGTATGTTGTCAAAACTTCAAAAATAGTCTGAAGAAAAATGTCCTTTGTAATCATCTCGATCAGAAAAACACCACTCCAAATTCTCCCACTATAGAAGAGAAAATGTAATTCTTACAAGTGTTTCCTCTTGATGTCTTATTCTTTATGTTATATATGCTTTCTTGTTCTAATTATTAGCACCTCTTTCTCTAATAGAACGCCCCCATTCTGTCAACTTTGAGCCAATTTATCGGATTTCCAGTGAAAGATATCAACAAGTGGTCAACTAACAAAATTCTTATGATATGTACCATTCGAGTGTTTACCGTATCCTCTTCACCGTTTTCGAACTATTTCAATTTTCAGAGCCTCCTCCAAAACCATCCTCTAGTAACAATAATGGCGACAGAAAGGTACCACGTTCCGTTCCATTCTTTCCTTCTTCTCAGTCTTCTCCTAGTGAGTGTGAATTCTTTGCACAGCTCAAATTATAAAATTAATTGTCTAACATAAGAACTTTTTCAGCGTCCATCTGTCCCGAAGGAGCAGAATATGTAGATGGGTTCACCGCTCCAAAATGTCTACCTCCAGCAATAGATTCGTGTCCGATGAGTCATAAGAAGTAAGTGTATTCGTTCGTTACTTTCTGGTAAATGCATGCATTTTCAGATGCCGTTACTCATCACGATTCGGTCATCATGTTTGCTGTAATTCCCAGTGAATCAGAATATCCACACACTACATCTTCAACATTCCCCACCAATCAGAGTTCTATTATAATTTATTTTGTCTTGTGAAAATCATAATATTGTCGTTTCAATCAAAGTGTTCCTCTTGATAAAATGGTCTAATTAAGTTTGCTTCCCGTTGTTTCAATTTGTTCCTTTCTCTCTTTTTTTCACGATTCAAACGCATTAGAGGAATCCATTAGTGGGCGAAGAATCCTCCCTTCTTTGAGAACATCTTCAGTCACTAATCTCTCTGTTCTTCACTTAATCTCTCAATATTTCTAGTTTGATTGAGAAGAATCGATCTTGAATATTTTCAACAGTTTCGAGATGTCTTGATCCGCCACAAGATTTTTTGTTTCTTTTTAAAATTTTCTTTTCAAAAAAACCGTGGAGTTCTGCATGGTTTTACCTAAAGTTTCTATTCAGAAAACCGAGAAAACTATGTTACACAAAAATAATGAGATTCCTGATTCCTGATCGCTTAGGCAACCCTCTTCTGAATAAATAGTGTAACGGTTTCATCTTTTTGAAAAATCAGAAAGCTTACCACATTTTGAAAAAAATTGGGATACGTACAACGATCAAAAAGTCACGGATATCATAGCTGCTAAATCTTTTCTTGGAATAGAATAAAAGAAAAACCGATTCTTTTCCTCCTTTTATTGAGGTCACATCGCTGTCTAAGTCTTTTTGATTCCAGTGGTATGTCTCCATTCTTTTGAAGCATCACACGCTTAGTTCTTCCACGAAATCTCGACGCCTTTTGCCTCCTCGGATATATTCGCAACGTTTCAAGCTTTTCCTCACTTTCTATTTCCCACTTTCTCCCTCTATCAACTATCGCTTTTTTCAATTTTTGCCATTGACCGTGAGAGGACAAGATTGGCAATCTACGGTTGCCAACCACAGTCTCTCTGCCAAACATCGGTCTTCCTTCTTTTTCTCTCTCTATCCGTCCCTCTCTATTCCTTTTTTCTCAAAAACCGCTTCGAAGCCTTTTTGTGATGGTAGGGAGGGGGGAGATGTATAAGCCGTGCTTGCCTCATCCCTCGTTTCACTTTCCACCCACACTTCACCCAACCACTTTCTTACCACAGTCCTTTTTTGCCACTTTTCTTCACCTCAAGTTTTTTTTGTTTCATTAATCCGCATTACAGGCGATGAACCTACTACAGGTCCTCTTATCCTCATTATTGTTTATGGTAGAATGTCAAGTGAGCAAAGTATTCTTAAATTTCTTCTCATCATGAAAAAGCTTCTAGGTTGCTCCAATTGTTCATCCAGCTTTATTAGAAGGTCCACAAAACGAAGTAGTTCCGTCTCTGATATTTCCTTCCAACCGAGTAGGCTCCAAAAACCGACTGAGCACTCGAGTATTTCGAGATGCCTCCTCACAAGGTGGGTTTCTCTGAAACGGACAAATTATAAAAGAATATAATCTACCTAATAATCCCATTTATGATCTAATAAAGTTACCCATTACCATAAGTGCGGTAGATACTTGATGACCGCCCTCTGATCGTCAAAACAAGCTGTGTTAATGCAAAAGTAATAACTCTCCCAATGTTTCTATCAATATATTATAGTATATTTTTAGATGACGATCTACCAAAACCTGTAGGATTTATTAGTCATAGTTAAAGTTATCACTTTGCTAAGTAGAATTAATTTCAGGTTATAAAGGTCTAGTCGACAGTCCTAGGCTATTCCGTGCATCTGGAAGATTCCATAAACGAGTACAGTCTGCAACGACTCACGATATCCAGAATGTTCCATTGCCTCAAGGTGAGAAAATCGGATCCATCAAATTATTCAAATTTTACCTTTCAGATACACTTCAAATCGTTTCGTATAAGTACGATGCCGAGAAACATAACGAAAAGAAAATGTCAGACAATGATATCATAACAAACGAAGAAGCAGAAGACGTGAGTGATAGATATGAAAAGATTAATGATGATCCATTTAACTTTCGATTTTTATCGTTCTGTTCCAGCATGCGCGTGGCATTGAGAGAACGACGATGTCGGTGAAACCAAGAGAAGATGAAACGGATAAAACTGTTCCAATGACTACCACAACTCCTATGCCAGAGCATAATTCCATTAATGTAAGCTTTTGGTTTACTTTTTCGTGTTTCAAAACTTAAAAACAACTTTTTTGCAGGAAATCAAGGAAAACAGCATCACACCAGCTCGATCGAAAACTTTCTTCCAAACCGTCACTACGAACGGATCAGCTGCTCCACTCATTCCAAATCCTCAGGTACAACTTTTCCCCTTTCAAAAAACGAATTTCATATTTTCAGCTACCTCCACAACCTCAGCCACCATTCGTATTCACTCCACAACCACCAATTTCTCCTCCAAAGTTCACAATGCCTTCTTTAGTTCCTCAAACAATTCAGCAACTTCCTTCTTCTCTTCCTCAGCAAGGAATACATCCTCAACAGCCTCCACCAGCATTCCCTGGTAATCAGATGGGAATCAATCCAGTCGGGGTGCCTCATCAGCCATCAAATGCTCTTGTGGCAGGTGTTCCGAACTTTAATCAACCCCAACAACCAGTTACTCTCACTCCGCTAGGAACCAATCCAACTCCAGCTGTGAGTGATTCTGACTTTTAATCTTACAACCCTGCTCATACTTCAGATCGGAGGCATTCAACAACCAAACCAAGTGAATCCAGGAGGTCTGCCTCAACAACCGCAATCAGCTCTATCTCCCAATCGAAATGAAGAAAAACATGATACTCACGAACAACTCGGATGCGGTTGGGATTGGCTAACCAACTCTTGTAAAGACGTATTCGCATTGAATTGGTGCGGAAAGTGCCATGACTTTGGAAATATTTTCCTGCATGACTGTAAATGTATCGCCCCATTGATTCCACTTCCAACCACAGTACGCCCATCTCCTCCTCCACCTCCACCACCTGCTCCTCAAAGACATCCATTGTTCTTTTGGTTAATTTGAATTATCAAAGTGTACTCTTACTAACAACTAATGTGATATTAGACTCGATCTCTCCTCTGGTTTTGTAATTCTCTCTTCCCATGTTTTATTTCTTTGGAACTCTGGAATGTTTTTTTGAAAACAAAAAAATAATCAAAATAAATTGTATTTATTAATTTTCAAACTTTAATAATTTAATTTTAAACTGAAGTCTCTGCTTCCTTGTGATTTTTTGTCAAATCTCTGCTATACAGATGCCAACGTTCCAAGTCTTCCAAAAGATGTTCTGCTTTTTCAGTTAAAATTTCTCTGTACTCCTCCACATGCTCATTGTCAGACGAGTAGGAGAGTTTCGCCTATAAAAAATTTCACTCATTTTTTGAAATTTTAATAACAAAAATCACCTGTGCGATTGGACCGTACATCGGCATCATGATAAGACCGCCAGTAACGAAGTAGTGTCGGTAAGAGTCTTTCAACTGAAAAACAGAAATAGACTCTTATTGTGATAGACAGAAAAGTTCACCTGATCAATGGTATAAGGGGCTTCTTGGTCTCCAAGAGCCTCAAGGAAATACTCGTAGAATTGATCTACCATTCTCTCCCAATGAGTCTGTCGATCATTTCCAGAAAGGGTTGAGAGGAATAGTCGAACAAGATCCTCAGCTGGATTTCCCATGTGAATGAGCTGAAAATATCGTTTTGGTTTATATCGCAACTATGTAGACTTTAAAATCTATATTAGAAGGGCCCTTCCATCTAATGTCCCGAAGTATTTTGGGAGGGCCCTTCTATAACAGGTGCTCTTCAGTTAGAGGTCGTCTATTTTTTCGGTCTTTTCAAAAAATTTTTCATCAAAGAAATCATGAAAAATATCTTTTAAAATCTACGAGTTTCACCAAAATTACATTTTTTCAGAAAAAAAAGAGTATTTCAGCAAATGTTTGCGAAATTGGTGCGCTTCTGGAATATTTTTCCTTGAAAAAGTACTGAAATTTTTTATTTTAAACGACACCTTTTAAGGAGATCTTTCTATTCGGAGGGCCCTACTGTTGGAGAGGCCCTTCTATTAAAGAGCCCTTCTAATACAAGTTTTATTTGTTATATGGCCCTCCAACGAAAATCTGGCGGTACTAACCTGGTAGTCAATCACTTTGCTGACTGAAAACTTTCCATCATCTTCTTTCCACAATATGTTTGCAGCCCACAGGTCACCATGTACCAGGACGTTGCGTTCAATACCTAAAAAATCAAACTTGCTCTTATCTTTTCATCACTAGGAGAAAATGAACAACAAAATCGGCAAGACTCTACTCATTGAACTTCGGTGCTATCAAAACTTACCAACGTATTTGTTGAGGTTACAGGCAAGCTCGAAGTTAACAACTTCCGTTCCAAAAACCTCGATTGCATCTGCTCCTTTGGTCAATCTTTCTCTGTTGATATCCCGAGTTTGTTCGTAAATATTTTTCATTCCACCATCATTCATCATTGACCCCATCAATTGCTTGAAATCAAATCCAGCAATGCTTTGTCTCTCTTCATCAGTCAATTTGAGACTTTCCGCTTGAAGAGTTGCCAAAGATCTCAATACCTAAAATCATAAATTATTAAGACAACTCAAATAACTCTTACTGGGTGCAATTCGTGTGGTTTAGCATTTGCATACAAGTGTCGGATCGTCACATCACTGACAAACTCCATTCCAATGAATCCTTTTGTCTTATTGTTGGCATCAAACTTCTTCGAGAAATAGATCTTCGGGCTTAGCAAAACATCATTCTTGTTCCATTTCTCGGTGATTTTGTACAGGTTCACTTCACGATTATGCAATTGCTGAGCCTCGTTCTCAAACATTGCCCATAGGCCTGCTTCCTGTTCCGGACTTAAAGCATTTGGATTCGTTGATCTCATTTTCTCGACGAGTCCATGAACATGCATACAAGATGTGATTTTTAAAACAAACTTGGTTGGAAGATGATCATCGGTGACTGTCCAATCAGGTTCAACAAGAATCACGCGACTCATGAATCCCTGAAAACTACGATAATCATTCAAATCTAATAAATTCACTCACATTTCCATCTCCAACCACAGTATACTTGGTGTTCTCTCCAAGTCTTGCTTTCGTATTCATCTGCTCCCCAATCACTTCTTGAACATCTTCCAACACAACATGCGTGTTGAACAGTCCATCACCGTTGTCAAGAATCGTAGTCTTCTTCTCTTCGGACATTTTCTCCGTCGATCAGATCACAACTGAATCAGCAACAAGGCGGTTGATTATATATTGCAAACACTGTGGTTTCTGCCGCTCCTTCCCTTATCAGTGCACAAAAAAAATCACCGTGACTCTCTAGGATCTGAAGAACAAAAACGAGAGAGTTTGTGAGAAAAAGAGGTAAAAATTTACATCACGAGGGAGGCTCAAATTTATGGATCTACAAAAATTGTTCTTGATTTTATGGCTTTGTGATCAGTGTTATGAATGGAACTCGAATTCTAAAACCACCTAGAAAGTAATTGAAGTTGATAAATGGATCCAATGTTCCAATTCATTGTTTTTATTGGTACAATTCCGGTTCCTCTTCGTAATCTATGAACTGAATAATCCATGTACAAATAATAGACAACAAATTCGTCTAGGGCAATGATCTAAATGTATCGGAATTCCTTTTCAGGTTGTCTAGTTACTATAATGTATTTCTATTGTTTGTCCTTGTTCAAGTTGTCATAACTTTAATCCGACTCAACTATTTAAAACCAAAGATAAATTCCCATAAGTTTATTGAAAAATAAGCACAACACACGAATCATAAACAACACGGCAGAGACCATACATGGAAGGAATTGTGATCATTCCTGCCATTTCTTGATTGTGTCTCTAGTGTACAAATGCCAATGTTCCATATCTTCCATCAGTCGTTCTGCTTTTTCAGTCAAGATGTCTCGACATTTTTCAATTTCAGATGGATCTGTCATTTCCGAAAGTTTTACCTATAAATTTAGATTTTAAACTTGTGAAACGAATCATCGAATAACCTTCGCAATAGGACCGTACATTGGCAACATGAGTAGACTTCCAGTGACAAAATAAAAGCGATAGGATTCTTTTAACTAAAATAATAATAATAATAATAATTCAATTCTGAATCTAGAAAAAAAATGAGTTGACCTGCTCTAGTGTATATGGTACGTTGTTTTCATTTTCCAGTGCTTCCAGAAAGTATTCATAAAACTGCTCGAGAAGTTTTTCCCAGTAAGCTCTTCTATCCGATCCAGAGAGAGCCGATGTAAATAAGCGAATAAGATCTTGAGCCGGATTCCCCAATTGCACAGACTGAAATTAAAACACGTAAATCTAAATGTATTATTTGAGTTTTTATTTATTATTTGAGTCCACAGATCCTCATCAGGACAGACAGACGCCTCTAGCGTTTTATATATAAGGAAGATACTTTACGCTCAATTCTTACCTGGTAATCAATAATTTTCTTAACTGAATAAGTGCCATCTACATCTTCGTTCCATAAAATGTTAGCAGACCACAAATCGCCATGAACAAGAACATCATTTTTAATTCCTGATGATTTTAAACAGTTTTTTTTCCTAAAAGTTCGAGCCTTACCCAAATATTTGTTCAAATTTTTGACTAATTCGAAGTTGACAAGTTCCAATCCAAACGAATCCACTCTGTCCGCAACCTCAGAAAGCTCTTCCGGATTGATTTCTCTCGCTTGTTCGAAAATACTTTTTAGTCCACTTTCGCTGAACATTTTTCCAACAATTTTTTCTAGATCGTACCCGGTTACACTCAATTTTTCTTCTTCATTCAATTTCAAGCCTTCCGCTTGAAAGATGGCAAGAGCTTTGAGAACCTGGAAGAGATATTTTCAGATTCACTGATATTCGGAACTTAACTCACAGCGTGTAGTTCATAGGGTTTGAGATTAATGTAAAGATGCCTGGTGATTGCATTCTCTACAAACTCCATTCCAAAGAATCCTTTTGTTAGATTTTCAGAATCAAACTTCTTGGAGAAGTACACTTTAGGACTCAATAACAAACTATCAATGTTCCATTTTCCAAATATTTCATAGAGATTGACTTCCCGGTTATGAAGACCAGGAGCTTCATACTCAAAAATTGACCACAATGCCGATTCTCGTTTATCTTTCAGATTCATTTGTTCCAGAACATTTAAGACGTGCATGCAAGAAGTTATTTTCAGAACGAATCGTATTGGAAGATGCTCATCTGGTACTGTCCAATCGGGGTCCACAAGAACCACGCGACTCATGAATCCCTAGAAATTTGGAACTTTTGATAATATGCGGTAAACACTCTAATAGAAGGCTTTGTCTATGCACGTTGAGTCCCACTATCTCTGTCCCTATAAAAGATATCAAACATTTGTCAACTGATAATATTTTTTCCATAATATCATCAACATTTCGTTAATTGACAAATTATTGTTATCGCTTCCAGGAACCGAGATAATTGAACTCAAAGTGCAAGTATAAGGCTGTCTTCTGTTTGAGTGTTTATGGTATGCGGTATCCAAAAGTCTGATTCAATAAGCTAATAACTTACATTACCATCTCCAACAATTGTGTATTTTGTGTTGGGTCCAAGTTCAGCTTTTGTATTCATCTGCTCACCGATGACTTTTTGTAAATCCTCCAGATGAACATGCGTGGAAAATAATCCATCTCCGTTCTTGAACAACGGAGATCCTTCCTCTCCAACAGACATTCTTTGGGCGAGTACAATGAAGCTTCTGATTTGAAACAAGCAGACTAATAATTTTTGCTGTCCATACCGAAATTTAAATAGCACTTTTTCGCAAACAAAATAAATTGTTGCCAAATTTCCAGTCTTATCATCTTATTCCAAACAACGGACAGATACGGAAAATTTTGAAAATAGAAGGACAACAATACACAGAAAATATTTTCATAACTGTCAGTATGCTCTCTGAATGACGTCTACGATATCAGCTTGATGACAAATCAATAGTGCAATTCTGTTTTAAATGATGAAAAATGTGATGTTTTGCATTACTACTGGAAAAAAAACTGAAGATTGAGTTCGTGATTCACAACGGTTACAACAAAAAACCGTAAAACCTTTAATAGAAAACCCCTACACAGTCACGTTTGAGTCTACTTATCTCAATTTCAATGCCAGGTATCAAAAATGAGTCAACTAAGAGAACCTTCAGAATTTATGATAAACAATGCATCAGTTTACAACTTTTCTATATCTTTCACAGGAACTGAGGAAAATAGAGTCAAAGTTAAAAGTTGAGAACCTATTTATTACAGGTTTTACGATATTCGAACATCTTTGAATTCAGAACTTACAAGATCAAACATCTACTAGAATATTGTTTCAGTGCTTTCTTCAAACCCCCTCCCCATTCTTCTTCTGCCGTCTTCTGCGTTCCCATCCGAAGCGATCCGAAAAAAAGGAAAGAATTTCGTCGGATTAAAAATCCAAGCCAGCACACTCTCCCTTCTCTATTTCTCCTCACCTTCCTTAATCCATGTCCACGGATTAGCCTCAATACAGGTTGAAAATGAAGCGAAGGGACGGACATTCTGTAACAAAGAAACTTTTCATTTTCATTCGGGGAAAAGCTGTTCCCGCTTACTTAGGCTACTCTCCAAATCCAAGCTAACTTTGACTAACCGTCTCAACGGAATCCAATTTCATTTGAAACGTTTAAAAAAATGCTAACAGCACTCATTCTCCTTCAATTGCTCATTCCACCCAGTCTACAGTTTTTCTTTGGAAGTAGCGGAGGAGGATGTGGATGTCCATGCCCAGTGCCTCCACCAATTCCAATTTGTGCTCCTCAACCAATATGTGCTCAACCAGCTCCATGTTCATCTTCTCCATCGTATCCCTCATATTCCCCTTCTTATTCTTCATATGCCTCTGCTCCAGCACCTGTTCCATCGCCATTTTATCAAGTAAGTTGTTCGTACAGGCCTGAAAAGTCTTCAGTGGGGTTTCTTGTTTTTCTGTATAAAGTCTCTGTTTCAGACCGGTTGGTCTCCTGCCATCCAACCATATGCTTCGGCTCCTACTATTCCCTCTTATTCCACATCATACTCTGCTGCTCCCCCACCTTTGGTAATTCCTTCTGGTCCTTCATATGTTGCCCCTGTCTCTGCTCCTTCTTATTCTCTAACCCCATCCATTTCCATCCCCGGACCTCTTCCGCCATCTCCAATATATATGCCAGCTCTTGCTATGCCAATTGTAACAAATGGATACGATCAGTGGGTTATTAAAATTTATCAGAAATATTGTATTATTTTAGAATTTCCATAGTGACATCCATAGCAACAACTCCTTCCTACTTGCAAAGCGGATATGTTCCAGCAGCTTCGGTAAATTCTAAAAAACGTTTTCATTCTGATTAAATCAGTTTTAGAAAGGATACGAAACCAAATATGATGAAGAGAATAGTGTAGAAGGGATGGCGCCTCCTCCACCACCTCCACCTATTGGTATTCCAAAGTTAGTTCTAGTTTTTGTTTCTATCAGGATCGTTACTATTATTCCAAACTAACGGGCTAAAACTTGGAGGTACAACGGGTGCACAATGATTCATTTATAGAACATAATATATGATTCGGGGTAAAATTTTTTGAGTAATCTGTATTTTTCGTACCGTTTAATGGATTTTTGAATGAGGAAAATTGGGACACAAAATTTGGACAAAATTTAAATTTAAAAAAAAACATTCTACACAAGAGTTTTGTGAAAGCAAATGATGCATTTTTGTACCACTGAATCCTTTGGTACCCCGTTGTAACCCTGAACTGGTGTCTCTTGAATTTTCGTCAAAAACTTGTTTACCGTACACACTTTAACAGAAGGCTACCCAAAACCGCCCTATTTTGAGCCGATTTATCTCGATATATGTGAGAGATATTAAAAAGAGGTCTGACAAAATGTTCATCGTTACAACAAAAGTATTTTGTTAGTTCACCACTTCTGAATATCTTTTACAGAAACCTAGATATATGGTTTCCAAGTTGATGGGTTGGGTGTCCTTCTATTAGAGGGTTCATTGAAACTGCTAGTTTCTCTAGCTTATCCAAGTTCCATTGTTTACAGAGAACCCAGCACATATGATTACCGTACTTCTGAAGTAGTCACCCCGAGCGACTACTATAAACCGGCAATTGTCCCAAGTAAAAAAACCATTTATATCTTACAAAATTCACTTTTTTTTGTATTCAGGTATGAGTTACATGGAAGATTCGTCGGAGGAAGGCCAACTGGTTGAAAAACAGGGATACTGGATGAAAGGACATCCCGTTTCACAGACTTCTTCAAAATATGGTCAGTTCGAAGCAAGACACAATATTCTGAAACGAATGAAAACTGAAGCGATTCCAAGAACGAATAACACCTGTAACTCGATAAAATTAGCAAATGTGATGATGCGGGCGATAGTAGACGACGTTTCTGTTTCAAAGAGAATGATCCAACATGCCACAAAACTCGCTTTTGATGGAGCTAAATTCGATGTATTCTGTGCGATTGGTGAATTCAGTTACAGTGTTCACTCTCGCAAGTACTGCGAGGTAACGAAACAGGATGTCACATGTTTCGCTTTCCGGTAATTAAATTGATTAGTTCCGATTGACCCAAATGCTTTCATAATTTATTATCTCGAATAAAAGAGAACGACATTAACAACCAAAAATTGCACGTTTCCCGGCCACTGCAAAGCGAAAAAAACCAGTGAAGCAATAGAACGAAATTCACACGAAAAGTAGAATAAAAGGCCAAGCAATAAAATAAGGCAATAAGTTACTGTAATAACACCACATATTGTAAATAATTAAGGCTATCAAACAAATCATATCGGAGAATAAATTATCACAATTGAATTCAATTAAAAGCTATCATTGTGCTCTATCACAGAAGTTGTTTACCCATTTCTTGTAAATCGTGAGGCAGTAAAGCTCTGAACAAATTGTCAAACATTTTTAACGCATTTTGAAGTGTGCTTGGGATTGAGCGAGACAACCAAACATGTTGAAACTGGCCACGAACTCGAAGCATTCTATAATTTGAAAATTGAGCAAAACCTAAAAAATATTTTTGACAACTTACGTGTTTGCTAAATCGGTTCGAATAGCCGGAGGCAAATTGATAACTCCTACACGGCCTGGTGAATATGGGAGACCCTCCTCGAAGCTTTTCTTGCGGTCAATTGGTTGACCTCCGTAGACGCACATATATTGACCTAGTTTACTGACAAGGACCATCAGTTCCGTGACGAGACGAATCTCTTCCAGAACTAAAGCCAAATCATAACTATACGGCAACAATTTACTGATAGCATCCAGAGCTGATGACGTTCGTTTCAACTCGATACGAGCTTTTTTGAACACCACCGGAGTAAGACGTTCCATATTCATATTTTCTGGATTGAGAATCATCTCTACGAATACAGATATTGGCATTTTCTTATTGGCTGACATTCCGAAGAGTGTTGTTTCCGACGTTGCCGAAATGTCAACGTTTGGTGAGCTGCTGCTATTCGGTTTCCAATATCCATAGGCGTACTTTGTGAGTTGGTGTTCTACTTTTCCAAGTGTCTGAACCTGTTCGAACAGGGTCACCATATCTCTGAAATGAAGTTGATGATTAAAAAAAAATAGGAGAACAAGTAGTTTACCCGTCAAGAAGCATATGATGAGCGGCAATGACTGGAAGCAAGAACGCATATTTCTTCATATCTGTGGAGCTGTTGTAGGCAACTCCAACTGAAGCAAGAAGAGACATGTATGACAACGACGGTGGCATCGCTTCGCATCCTGTTGATAGATCGCACACCATTGATCCAAGTACGGTTTGTCGGTCACTTAGCTTGGCTGCTAAAAGAGCTTTTTTGGCAACTGATTCTGGAGCGGCGCACAGATATCCATCGTCGCCAGTAGAAAACTTGATAACAACGGAAACCCGGGGAAAAACGTATTTCTCCACTTCAAACGGCCATGTTCCTTCTACACACAGGGTTACAAATGGTGGAAGAGTCGAAAGCAAAGGTCCATTCTTTTCATCGACATGAGTAGAAAGATAGATCCTTGGAACTCGACGTTGGATTGAGGTCAACACTGAATACATTTTACATATTTTCATGTAAAATTAGAGGTACTCACGTTTTCTATCAGCAATCAGTAAGCTAGTGAGATTTGGTCCGAAATGAACAACTTTGCATAACGGAAAATCATCTAAAAATTGATCGATGATGCTTTTAGCTTGATCTCCTTCCAAATAGTTAGATTGGGTGTCGATGGAGGGGACAAACTAAAAAATACATTTTTCTCAGGAAAGCAAAAAATTTCCAAATCACCGTGATAAAAAGTTCCTGACACACTTGCATCATATGGAAGAGTTCTCGATTTGTATACGGTAGCTGGTATCTATCAGTAGTTCTCACTTCAAAATTCACAAACAAATAGTTTGCTTTGCATGATGAAAGCCTAGTAGCAAGTTTTAAGATCTGAAGGCAGAGATTATAATTCGATTTACCTAAATCTTCGCTTACAGTATCTGGATTGAGAATGCGACATCCCGAGAAGTCTTGATATACAGCTCTGAACGCACGATCCGGTTGGTCTCTGATTGTGAGTTCTTTGATGGTTCCGTCAGCGCTTATGTCAGGAAGATGCTTGGTGGTATTGCTTCCGTTCAGAATGCTGTGATCACCACTTGCGTTTCCGTTTGGTGAACTAGGAGCACTTGATCCTCCATTATAATAGACACTTTTGTGCAGAGCATATTTATGTAGTCTAACAATTTGGACAAATGTGGCGAAGGCGTGACGAATTCCAGCATAGTCAGACCCAATAACTTCCACACCTCTAACAGCGTCAATTGTGAGCGTATATGATCCTGATGGACGTCCATCTTCGAACACACCACATGTGACTTTTCCTTCCAGTGCTGAGGTTTCATGATCTGCCAAACGATGTCCTGTAAGATGGGCTAGAATTGTGTTGAGCAGAAGATTCAATCAGTCTCGTTACCTCTGTACTCAATATCCACACCCACACTGACAAGAAGTGGTTTACTGAGCTCAATAATTTGCATAACTTGACGTGGATTCGCACTTGAGCAGTCATCGAAATAAACCTTTAGCTTCCCATCCTTCGGGAACTCGAAGTTTCTGACTGACTGATGTTTTATAGATATGAGTTTCGGCTGAGGCCATAGCAAATCTGTCCATGAGTCTATCTCTCCCTCAATATATTTCTCGTACTTTATAGAATCGTTGAAAATCTGTGTGTTCAACGTCTCCGTGCAAGAAATCAGCGACATCCGATCATCCATATCATCAACAGATTTATGATGTCGAATATCTCTGGCAATTTGATCCATGCTGAGTAGCGATAAAAGTGCAGGATTGTGGGTTTCGGCAAGAGCAAACGCATCTTGGCCTTTCTTAGTTTTCAACGAAGGATTTGCACCAGACGAGAGCAGAAGTTTGACGACCTCCGGTTCAGCTTTCAGCACTGCTGTGTGTAGTGGTGTTTCATCTTTTGCATTTGCCATGTCCACAGTTGCACCATTAGTCAGCAAGGCTTTGATGACGTCTGCTGTTGCGAACTCTGCTGCCCAATTTAGAAGCGTGTTCTTGGTTTGCTGCGTGTCAACTGAATCCACTGAGACGCCAGCACGTATCAGTTGGCATAGCCGCTCAGTTCTGTAAGACGATCCAAATAAAATAACTTTACTTTTTTCTAGATGGAGAAGTACGCTAGAGAAGATCTTGCAAACATCTCGAGCTACTCTGAAAGACGTTCAAAATGGCCACTCATTATGCAGGTATGATTAAAGTCAGATTGATATACTTCTACATCTAAACAAGTTCAGTCGCAAATGACGACCGGTCCAGGATGCAGTACCCCTGGATTCTACCCGCAACCACGTGCTCGTGACGACTCAAATATTGATGACGTTCCATTGAAAAGCACATACGTCGCCAGTTTCATGCGAGATCGTGAAGATATTAAATCCGGTTAAATTTCAAATAAATATGTCTTACTTGTTCATTGTGATTGACTGAAGTGCTTCGCGCACAAATGAGAGACGCACGTTCTCGGATTTACAGCATTGGTACGCTGTTTTTCCGTCAGAATTTTGTACACATGGGTTAACGCCTCCCGAAAGAAGAGCCGCAACACTATCCGGAGCATCTGTATGATTGTGAATTTTTGCGATTAGCGGAATATGCTTTGGTACCTAACCCAACGGCCTTGTGAAGAAGTGTTCCCTCATTGCAACAAACTTTGTCAACTTGCGCATGGAAATCAGCTTGGTTTTCTGCAACAAAAGCCATGTTTCATTTGTATTTAAAGTCGAAACTCACTCATCTGCGATAGAATTGAGCAAATGACGTCGACACGGCCGCTCTCGAGACATTGTAGCAGAACCGGAGCGGCTTCTTCCTTTTCACCCATGTCGCTGAAAAATTGGTGTTGTTTGAATTGGAACAAAAACGGAAGCAGATGTCTAGTGGTTATCGACTAACACGCCTGAGTGGTCGGAAAGATCACAGCAACACAGTGATTGGTTACACAAAACGGTTTAGAGTATATATAAATGTAGAGAGAAAGCTGACATATGAGACAAATCCACGAAAAATCAGGACGCGATTCGGCGGCCGATTCCACGTTGCGGTGGCCGAACTCGCGCGGACTAGTTTTTCATCGGAGTGTCGTTGTCGGAAATAAACATTATTTTGCGATTTTCCGACCTATTTTTTGATTTTGGCATATAAATTCAAGACGATTTTCACTATAAAAAATTTAAATGAGTTCCAGAATAACTTTTTTTTTCATTTTTGCACTTATACATCTCTTGTCTAATAGCTCAAGGCCCCTTAAATTCTCCCTTTTCAGAAATGCGAGTAGTTCTCCAACGAGTAACTCGGGCAGCTGTTACTGTTAGTGATGAAGTGGTGAGTCATTATTATTTTGAAAAGATTTTAAATGTTTCATCAGGTAGGCTCGATTGGAAGAGGTCTGTGTGTGCTTGTCGGGATTCATCGGGACGACACAGAGGAAGATATGAAGTACATAATCAGGAAAATTTTGAACCTGAGGATTTTCCCTGCTTCTGAAGAAAAACCATGGGACAAATCCGTGATGGATCTTGACTTGGAAGTGTTGTCAGTCAGCCAATTCACCTTATATGGACAGTTTAAAGTAAGTATTCACTAAGCATTTTGCTGCAGGTTTCCTTTAAATAGGAGTTCTTACAGGGTAACAAACTTGATTTCCATACTGCCATGGCTCCCACGGAAGCTTCAAAGTTCTATGCAACATTTTTAGAATCGTTAAAGAAAGCCTACAAGCCAGAAAAAATACAGGATGGCAAGTTCGCCGCCATGATGAGTGTTGATATAGTTAATGATGGACCTGTTACAATTTCCTTTGATAGTAAAGAAAAATAAAGAATCATTATTTGTCTACCGTTTTAAATGTCTATTTCTGTCTTGCTTTTTTCGGTTTGTTGCCGGATTAGTTATTTCTCTCGTGTTTTTTCTTCCAACTTCTATCGTACAAGTTCAGATGTCATTCGAAAGACTGCAAAGAGACTTGCACGAGGCTATTGAAGGTGTTAACCGGTATAATCCGGAAAATGTAGCGGAACTGGCGGCTTGTGTTCAGGCCATGGTGGCCGAAAACAAATACGATAAAGATATCGTCCTCACCATTCTCAAGCTCTACCAGCTCAATCCAGAAAGGTGAGTTTGAAAAATCACTTCCGAGGTATTTAATTGAACTGATTCCTTTTAGATACGACGAAAATGTGGTTCGACAGGTGCTTCTCAAGACTTTGATGGTGCTTCCATCGAGTGACTTCGCTCTTGCCAAGTGTTTGATCGACACTAACCGTATCGGATCTCAAGAACTTCGTCGTATTTTCGATTTGGGAGCTGTTCTCGAGTCATGCAATTTCGCTGTTTTCTGGAAGCTCATGAAAGGAACGTACAAGGTAAGTAAGGCCCTGTACTATGTTTGTGGAGCAATACGTTTATAGCCAACAACAAATCCAAATGAGCCATTCAAAGTCCCAGCAGAGATTTCAAAGATGATCAAACCAATGGCTGGCTTCGAAGACGCAATCAAACATTGTGAGTTGGGTTCTTAATTGGAGTGGCAGCAAAAACCGTCGGCTGTCGACTGAAGGTGTATGTGAGCTCACGAGAAAGTGAGATGTATCAACACCAAGCCCCCAATATTTAAAATCTTATTTCATAATTAATTTTCCAGATGCTTGCCGTGTTATCAGTGTGACGTTCCAAAACATCGAAAAGAAGCTGTTGAGTAGTCTTCTCGGTGGAGCCAGTGATAAAGAAGTTACTGCTCTAGCAAAGAAGTTCGGCTGGGAGACCAAAGAAAACGGAGAGGTCTTCTTTGTCGCAAATCACGAGGGAACCATCAAAACACGAAATATCGATGAGAAGATTCAGTTCTCTCGTAAGTATTTGTAGCTAAAATTTCAGTATCTAGGGTGAGTGATGTTTTGTAGATGTTGCCGATCTTCTCACCAGCAATGTTCCACCACTGGCCTTCTGATTACTTCTCTTTAACTATAATACGCTTGTTTTTTTTGTTACTTGACTCTTCCTTCCCGTATTTATATGTCATTATCCTTTTTCATGAACTTTATTTCGTTAAGTAATTCTACCCGCATTATGTACAAATAATTCATCACATCAGTTGCATTGGCGGAATTTAACTCTCCGATGTTGTTCCAATCACTTTCAAGCCATCGGGAGCACGTACGACCCATTCCGGCCAGCCTCCGAAATAGATTTTTCCGTTGTATCCAGACCGTGTCAGAGCCCACCAAACCATTGCAGAGCGGAGAGAAGTTGAACAGTAAACTATCTGAAAATTCTTTTTAGAAATTAAGATTCGGCCTTTTATATACCACAGGCTTTCTCAGAGATAACGCATTGTTGTTGAACAATCCTTTGAGATGATCTGCGGCTTTCCATTGACCAACCGCCCAATCATAGACAGCGTCTACTGGAATGTTCCGGGCACCTTTTATATGTCCGTATAGCGCTCCTTGAGCTGTTCCTAAGAATTCCTCCTTTGTCTGTGCATCCACGACGTCGAAATTGTCAATTTCGGTGTTCAGAAGGACATCGTCATAGGTAATAATTACTGAATCATTCCATGAAGCCAAAAAATCTCCTTGTCTGGGTTTGCCAGGAGCATCCCCTTGTTCTGTTTTATACTGTCCACTTCTTGCCTGATGAGTCTTCCATCCCAAATAACCACCAGACAGAAGTGATACCTTCTGATGGCCGAATAGTTTGAATATCCAGACAGTGTAAGCACTCCATATCATTTGTCCTCTATCATAAACAATTATATGACAGTCATTATCAATTCCCTGTGATCTTGCGAATCGTTGAAACTGAAGCGGATGAACTGGTACACCAGCATGGCTCATATTCGAATGGAAGATCAGACGAGCTGATTCAATGTGATCCAGAGAGAATGCATCACGACTTTTCATTTCATCCCCACTCGCCGCTTCCAAAATACAGATTTTTCGTTTCGTAATCAGAAGAGTGAGAAGGTGATTCGGAGTGATTTCCATATCAGAACGTTTTGAGAGAAGACTGGATTCCATTGATGGTCGAGGCTGAATTCAAATATTTGAAAAATATGGACAAGCCAAAAGTATTACCAATCCATAGGATTCTTTTTGAAAACTGCTTGCCGATGAAACAAAAAAGAAGAAAGAGAGGATCGTAGCAAGAATGAATACAGCGAGGAGGGTTACTGTCGCTGATACGCATGCAATTTTCCATCGTTTTGAGGTACTCTGAAACAAATTTTAAGTTTTTTATCATATTTTGATATTTCCAAAAGTTTTAGCTTACTGTGTTCCCTCTATTAATAATCCACCAAAACCGTCAATTTCGAGCTCAATTATCTCAGTCCCTATAAGAGATCTGTCGACGGATAAATTATTAATCATGATATTAGCTTAATTTTATTTGTTGACAATTTTTAGATATCTTTCAAAAGAATCAAATAATTGAGCTCAAAGTTGAAGGCTTGGGTGGGCTTCTCAGAAGAAACTCTGTAACTCGAACACTCACTGAAGTTTCTGTAAATTCCTTCCCACTATCAGTTTGTTTTGGAGAATAACGTATAAAAGTTTCACCCATAAATGGGGTGGATTTTAGACTGAAAACTTGCATAGCATCGTCGTCCATAATAATACAAACTGACTGTTTTCTTTATAATCAGTTCCATTGAATTCTCTTGTCCCCCACCCTTGACACCAATTCTATTCTTTTTTTCACACCTTCTTTTTCTTCAATTTTCCCTTTTCACAGCATTTTCATTTTCATCGCCTGCTGTGTGTCATTACCGTCTAATTTCTATTCCGAATAACGACGATCATTTCGTTTTTCGCATTTTCGAAAACCTAATAATTAAGTGATTGGTGACATCTAATGATGATGGGGGTGATAAGGATCAAAAGAGAAGTACTCTACTTAGTCCTTGAAGAATTTGAGACTGAATGCTATACTCACATTTTTTGGGTTATGAATTGCAATATGAGTGGGTGTCATCGGGGGTGGAATCGGAGGAGGTGTGGCTATCATCGGAACTTTTTTTGCCTGTAAGAAATTAGTTTCAGAACTGGAAATGAAGAAACTGGAGGCCGAGAATATTTCCAATACCTTATCATTTTCAGAAGTTTATACCGTTCTAAAAGCTGTAATAGAAGGGCTCGAATACTGTCCAGTTTAAGCTAATTTTTCTCGCCTCCTATCAAAGATATCAAAAGTGGTTGTAAAATTATTATGAACAATTTATCAGTTAGCATCATTGTTATCTTTGACAGGAACTGAAGTAAAACGGCTCAAAGTTAAAAGTTAGGGATCCTTCCATTACAGGTTTTACGATTATCGAATATCCTTGAAATTATAATAGCCAAGACCAAACATCTGAGGAATTCTCGGTAAGATGTACTTAACACGAGTTATATAGGCATTCTGGTTGATAGTGACGAAGGCAATAAAAGTAATTGATTTACTATGACAAGGAAAATAATAAATGCCCAATAACTTTTCATGAGACTTTCAAGAACTACGGACTTCTCATTCTCTATAATTAAAGCCTAATAGAGTGTCACCAAGACTGTCATCTTTGAGCTCACATATCTCAGTTTCTGTAAATGATACCGAAAGATAGTCAACTGATAAAATGTTTATAATAACTTCAAAAGTATTTGTCAATTAACCCATTTCTGATATCTTTTACAGGGAATGAGATATATGGGCTCAAATTTTCAAGTTTGGGTTTTCAGATTTTTGGATGTTTTACAGATTCACCTCGACTGAAAGGCATACTTGTAACGGGCCGGGCCGGGCTTTATTCCGAATTTCGGAGGCCCGGCCCGGCCCGGAGGGCATGTCAAAATCACATAAGGGGGGACCCTTATGTGATTTTTTTCGAGTTTTTTCGATCTTTTTAGAGCAAACAGACAAACAATCCAAAATAACAAAAAAAGAGAATATTATATTGAGAGCTCAAAATTTGGCTCAAAAACACATAATTTTTGATACCGGGCCATCCGGGCCGGGCCCGGGCTTTGAAAATTTCCTCAGGCCCGGCCCGGAATTTTACAAGTATGCTGAAAGACAAAAACAACTAACCATTCGCTTCTCTGTTCTCCTGACTCTTCCCAACTCATCATAGAAGTAATCTGGATCCTCATACTCCTTTGTGTCTACTTCTTCTACCGTATTGTATACATCCTCCACAGTCTTTGTCTCATATTCCTTTGGTCGAACTCCAACTGACCATTTCTGCATTTCTCTGAAAAATAAGGAGTAACAGAACCTATATGAGATAGTTGGAGGATCGAGAGAATGAGAATTTGTAAGTAAAAAGTGTCTTTTAGGAAATAAGAGAAGTGAATCAGCTACAAAAATCTAATCGTTTAGGTTGGCCGACCGGGGAGAAGGGGGCTGACTGTTTTGTGTTCCAAGGACGTTTCGGCTTACCTTTTCACCTACATTTTTCTATTTTTCTCCCGCTCTTCTCTCCGATTTCGGATCACTATTTCGAAAAGAGGCATACCTCATCTCGCTCTCCTTTTTTTTCGTTTCTTATCCTCCTTCTCTGGGATTGATGCGCAACTTTCCGCGCCTTGAAACAGATCTGGTATCTGGCGCTCAGCGAAGAAAACGGGGGATATTAAGAGGAAATGCGGTAAAAGGGCAAAACAGTTTATGACCGAACAATTCAAGGGAATCATTTTTACCACACTATTACGAAGACATTTAGAAAAAAGTGATAAGTGATAATAAAAAGGACAAGGGAACGGCGGAATGAAGTGATAGAAACAAACAGGACTTTCCAGTTTAATTGAAAACAATGAGGGAGGAAAAAAAGATATATCAGTTTCCGTTGATAGAGAATTCAAATCTGGCATCTTTCCAAGTGGATTCCAGTGGCAGATATCTTCTCTCTAAGACTGACACCTTATTATTTTGATCGATGGTGATAAGAGTGTGACATCGAGTTCCATATCTAAACTTACAAAATTTATTTTTTTTGTTGGAAATGCAAAACTCACTCCCTAGTTCCTTCTGGATATTTTATGAAAATTGCAGACAATGGACGGTTGTACTCGTGTGTATTTCGAGTTTGAAACTGAAGTTGAGCATCTGGGTAACACTGCTTTCTGTTCACTGCGATTTCTAACAAAGTTTCAAAAACTTCGTCAACAGTCATTTCATCGCTATATTGTAGACGTTCGGAAAACAATTGTTTTCCGTAAACAGCTTTCTGATATGGCTTCGATGGAGGACTATTAGATATGACATGGTATTCTGAAACATCAAGGTATTCTGAAGAAGTCAAAACACTTCGTACTCACCATCATTCCACTGGCAAACCTCAATATTTTCCACTTGTTGATTGGTTAATGTTCTAACTTCGTATAATCCAAACTGATTTCTGAAAATTGTAATTTTTCAAAAATAATCTTCGGAAATCTTACTGTTCCAGACAAACAAGCTGAAATCCATTGTAGATTCCAGCCATTATCAGTAGCGATTCGACCATGTCAGAAGTATTATGAGCATTTAGAAATGAGTTAACAATTCCTCCTCTACTTGGAGCATTCGGAATTTTTGATTCTTGAGTTTGAGTAATAGAAAGCATCATTCCGATTCTACCATTCCTGTTTATTCCGGTCCATGTTCCGCGGGCATGGTCTTGCTCATCAACTCCTATAATAAAATACAAGTTATAGTCAAAGATGCAATGATTACCACTGAGAATTCCATCATGCCAATGCATTTCTCTCGTCGGACGAAGAAGATGTTCATCTCGATTGTTCAAAAGAATAAGTTTGTATTTATCAAGAGAAGACCGAGCAGTTTTGAAAAATGTAATACACATTTCAGTGTTCAAATGAGATATTCGAATGAGAGAAGAGGAAATGTTTAACATATTGTTGATTGCATCATTTGTGTATGTGAGCGTATGATGTCTGTCTTTCGAGCGACGTGTACTTCAATCATCGTAGAATAAACATTGATCAATGGAAGGAAGTTTTCAACCATTTGTGATTGCCTGGATTTGAATGAGTTACTTAAAGTACCGTACTTTCTCTGATAGAAAGTGACCCAAATCGTCAACTTTAAGCTCAATTATCTCATTTTCTGTGAAAGATATCAAAAAGCGGTTGACTAACAAAATACTTCTGAAGTTATGATAAATATTTTGTTAATTGTCCTATTTGTTATAACTCTTACAGAAAATGAGATAAATGGGCTCGAAGTAGACGGTTTGGGTGGGTCAAAGGACCTTGTGGAATGGAATCGTTGCAGAATCTAACGAATGGGATAGGTGGAAAATCGGCGTTTCAAATAAAAAAGAATTATTAAGCCTTCCCGAATAAGTCCCAACATTTTCTTTCATTCCTTCCAGAATAGCTCATCTACAGATACTCGTTAACATTCTAATAGAAAACCACCCAAACCGGTTTTTAAAATTTGAGTCCATATGTTTCGGTTCCGGGAAAAGATGTCAAAAAGTGGTCAGCTAACAAATTAATTTTAATATAATGATGAACATTTCGTCAGTTGATCGCTGTTTGATATCTTCCACAGGAACCGAGATGTATGGGCTCCAAGTTTCCGGTATGATTGTCCTGCTCTCATGCCGGAAAAACGTATAAATATATAACATGTCATGAAGTACTTGCTTTTCTATTAGAACTTCCCATCAACAAACACTTGACCACAATTTTTTACTTATTTTTTTAAACGACACTCACAAAGAAGTTTGACTACCTAACAATTTCGAATCATATTCTTTGTTGCAAGACTTTCACGGAACTCAATATTACGTCTTCAATGAAAAAGATTAATGAATCAGAATTTCGACCACTAGGGAAATCGAAATAGAAGGATATTTTCTCTCATTTAATTTTTGGCGACTAGACGTACTAATTACTTCTCTCTTTCTTTATCTTTTAACCTCCAGCTATTTTGTGTCATTGGCTTCCATTCTTCTTTTTGTCGGCTCATGGATTTCTGATCTCCGGAATTCTAAATTTGTATTATTGAAAATCAACTGTTATGGTATGATATCTGACTGACAGAACATAGAACTATGGATGGACCAACAGAAATATATATTGAAATACTCTCATTTGTCTACCCAACTTTCCTATTCACTACGCTCATATCTCACTTGTTTCTTCTTATTTTTATCATCTTCTTCTCCCCACCTCATTTGAAGTTTCTACGAATACTTCTTTTAACAACATCGATTTTTGATGTACTTGCTACCGTAATCAACTTCTACGTTCAACCAAGAATTGTATCAGGGGAACAAGAGAATGTTCCAGTTCAATGTTATGGACTCTGCCGGTATATGTATCCCGAATTCTGTTTTGCATTTTATATGGGATGGCAGGTAAACGAAAACTTTTAGAAACATTTTCTGAAATGTTTTTCCAGACCATAAGCTTGGCAGTTGGAGCATCGATGACGTATACTTTGTTCTTCAAATACTACAAAATAACCCGAACCAAGTCGTTATCCGGATGGCGCCTTTTTCTTTCATTAGTTTTATTTTATACTCCATGTCTCATTTCCATGGTAATCTTAATTATTATTTTAACCTGCTTTAGAACGGTCCTTTTAGATCTGTTCGGCAATTATTGTCATGAGGAACACCACTCCAGCAAATCTTCGGAAAAATTCGGAAGAGAAAATGGGTTTTAACCCGAGATATCTGGAAATGGGAAGAATGACACTGGGAGCATTACCAAACAGAATTAACTTTTTGATGATGGCCCAAGGAATTTATGTATCTCCTTTTCTATCATTCTGGTTCAGATGGTAAGTTTTATTCTGATGCGAAAAAATCAAAGCTGTAGAAGAGAAACGCCGGTGGCCGAAAGTCCCATAACGACAACTACCGTAACCTAGAAATGTTCTTTTCCAGATTTTTTATTAATTTTTTGCTTTTTCAGTCAATATTTTCCGGCTTGTTTGGAGGGTAAAAAGCTGAAAAATCGAAGAAATAAATACGGAGAATAAACATTTTTCGGGTTACGGTAGTTGTCGTTGCGGGACCATCGGCCACGGTCACCGGCTTTTCTCGTCCACAGCTTCGATTTTTTGTACCAGAAAAATAAACACTGTTCAGGAAAGCAAACAAGAATTTGAAGGATACAGTTTCTGGGGGCTCCCTGCTCCTACAGAAACACACGAAAAGTGTGATGAAGGGGATTTCACTTCAAGTTTTCATCCATTTTGTCTGTTATATACCACTGTTCTCCCTATACACATATTCTATATTGAGTGGTTAGTTTCGATCTTTTCATCTTTTTTGGAATTAATTTTTCAGAAACCGAAATCTTGGCTCAACAATTTTTTCTCGCCATGTCTCCGAATCTCGCCGCGACATTTGATCCTCTTATCAACCTCTATTTCGTGCTTCCATATCGGAAACAAATCAAATCCTGGTTTTGCAAGGAGCACACCCCAGTTGCTCCTTCAGGAATTATATCGCGGCATTTATCTACAGTTGAATGATGAATTTTTAAAAACTCAAAATTAATTTAATAGAATAGAAGAAGAAATCGGCTGAAATCAAAACGAAATAAATACAAATAGCTCACTAGTTTGAAAAAATAAACAGGAAAAATTATGAAGAAGCGGCAAATGATATGAGTAGACAGAAAAGAACAACCAAAATGCAGATAAGAAAGGAAGAAGGCTTTCTAGAAAGAAATGATCTAATTCAAGCTCTGACAAAAGATGCAATCTCATGAACTCCGAAATCAGCACTGTAAGACGATGTGGTTACGAAGGAAACTTCTTGCCTGAAAAATAGTCTGGTTTAGGAAAATAATGTAATAATGAGACAAACTTTTTGAGATCTTCCCAGCTGAAATCAACCCCTGTATCGGTCAAAGTGGCTCTCTTTTCATCTGATCCATCGGTTCCAATCAGTGCAGCGGCACGCGACTTATTGATGAATCCGATTTCTTTTTCCAGACTATTACGAATAACCTTTTCAGTTTTGGCGAGTGAGAGGTCTTGCTTGTGGCAAGCAATAAGAATTGGTACCTGTGACATTAGTTGTATTATTGTCTAGAATTCGGAAAGAATACTAACCTTGTCTGTATTCTCGAGAGCAACGAGGTAGAAAAGCTCGGCAACATCACGAGCGTTCTTTGAGAAAGCAGCTGAATCAACGACAAATACAATGCGAAGAAGTGAACGGCTCTGTAATTTTTCTAAATTAATCTTCATATTTATTTTGTTTTCCTCACATGAATCAAGTCGATGAGCTTTTGTCGCAATCTATCGTTTCCTGGATAGTCGATAATCTACAAATTCATTTTGAATTATCTGGAAACGAATTTTTAGTTTACCTCTCTTTCCTTATCTTTGATTCTTAGAGTGATTTTGTTTTCAACCATTGATGTGAAGGTCCTAGTAGTGGTTGCTGAATTAGTACGATCGTTTTACACTTTTTATATTTAAGAATGAAACATACGATATTCAGCTTCTTTTTGGGACAACTGAGTGAAAATCGTTGTTTTTCCAGAATCCATGAGACCAACGAACAAAACTCGGTTTTTGTTGGACGATCGGAGACTCTGAAAAGTTAGTATTATAGCGAGGATATCATTCCTTTTTCCTTACTTTTAGCACAATCAGCAAGATGGTAATCAGTCCTACTACTGCTGCTACCAGAACACCCAACGTTGTGGGGTCAGTGAAATCCATCCTAAAACGACCAACTGAATAGGGAAAAATTTGTTATAACAGAATCAAATAATAACAGTGGTATGAACCAGGTTTGAACATCTCGGAGAACAGAACAATGTGAATTGCAAACAAATTTATAAGTACAAAACAACGAATAAGAAATCTAGAGACCTAAAAGTTATTTTGAACCGGTAAAGCTAATTTTCGATATTGTAAATCCCTCGGATTCGTTTCGGCAGCTCCGTTTTTCCTTTGATTCGTTTTACTTCTTCGAATAAACATGACTTTCCATCTGAAAATCATGATTGATTCATTTAGAAGACAAAAAAGAAGAAAACCTTACATGCTGGGTCGTAGAAAATTCCAGCAAACTTATCAGCAGCTCGTTCTCGTACCCAAACTCTTGTTGATCCTGTTATGACACTGGCAAGCTGTACAATGACGTATCTGAAAAAATCAAGAAGTTAGTAAATCATTTTTTCCGCTGAACATACTTTGATTTCGCTCCCATATTGTGCAGATATGCAGTGAGAACGGCTCAATTCTAAAAATGTTGATTTATTAGCGTTGACTTTAAGACAGAGAAGAAATGAAGTCAAAAAGTAAGCTGAAAGTTTATGTTTTCGATAGGCTGAAATGCTGGCGAGCTGCCAAATGTTTTTCGTACGCAAACACTTCATCCGCAACTGCGCGTGACTCCATTCCATCTTACGCGCTAAGGCTCTCTTCCATGTTCATGAGTACGGTAACAGTGATAGGGTATCATGGATCCAGGAAAGAATAACTAAAGAATTGAAGTAAATGTATATTGAGACATGATTATAACATTGAATAAAGACATCGAGAAACACGAATAAAGTACATATGGTTCTCATTACTATTCGGTTAAGGTGTCACTCCCACTTTCTTTGTTCTCTGGATTCAATGTTTCGAAATTGTTTCATTGTGGCACCCTCAGACGCTGAAGGAACATACATTTGACCTTTTTCACACTCACAGATAGTGAACAACCATTCAGTGTCACGTTTCATCTTTTGAGGTCACTCCCATTAAACTCCCTAGGAAAAATACCTCAACTTCACGAATTCGTCCTTGGAAGTCGCAAAGGCCTTTTCCCTCAACAGTCGATTCTACCTCATTTCAAAAGGGCATTTGTGTGATGGAGCAGATTTCCATCGCGTTCTTCTCCTTTCTTTTTCGAAAAAACCTGATTTAACCTGCATCAATACCTAAAGATGGAACGAATATCTTAGAACGTTCAGACGGCAGACCGTTCGATCTCTCCATTTCTCACTCAATTTCATTTGAATTGGATTGTATTAAACATTTACATAATTACAGGTAAAACCAAGAATTGTATCAGTGGGAGTCAATCCAATGAGTTCTGTAGGATTTCCTAAAGTTTGTTGAATAGTCTTAACCTAGATAGCTTAAATTCCGAGTAATATTTTTACAGTCCTATTCAACTGAAGATGCACTTGAAAAGCTGAAAATCCTTGCAAAACGATATCCACCTCAATCCAAAGTTGTAGAAGTGTCTTTCTCAATTATTGGAAGAGTTTTGGCAGATGACGTGGAGGCAATCGAGGATATTCCAGCTTTCAGGAAGTCTCTTGTTGATGGATTTGCTATAATATGTAAGTTGAGCAAATTTCCCTGTGCTGCAGGAAGAATTAAATATCAAACTTTTCAGATAATCAATCTGGAACCAAGAGAAAAATCGTTGGAGAATCCACTGCTGAAAAGCCCTACGACGCAATGATACAGCTTGGAGAATGCGTCAGAATCACAAACGGAGGAGTGGTGCCTGATGGAGCGGATACTGTAGTTCCGTTTGAAAATGTGACTTTAAATGATGAGGAGAAATGTATTCAAATAAATGTGAAACATAGCCGAGGAGAATATATAAGGTGATAGGATGAACTTTGGAACTATTCAGATAGGCCAAAATCTTAGTATTTTACCTAGCTGAATGATTCCATTATAAAACAAAGAAGATGTTTTTTTTTCAGAGAACGAGGATCAGAAGCAAAAGAGGGGCAAGTATTGATAAAAAATGGAAGCAAACTCGGATCGTTGGAAGTCAATTTGCTTTGTGCACTAGGAATCTCACAAGTGGAAGTCTATAAGAATCCACGTGTCTGCATTATGTCGGCTCTGAATGCTGCAACCAATCAGAAACAAACGCATGAGCATTCAAATCGTTCTCGGCTTTTGAGGATATTTCAAATCCAAGGTTTCAAGCCAATAGATGCTGGAGAATCTTCAATGAAACCTAAGAAAATGGAAAAGAATCTTCAAATAGCTGCAGATTTTGCTTGTGTGATTGTGATTATTGGAGATATAAACAAAATCCAGAAAGTAATTCAAAAGATGAATTTGAAGGTGAGAAAGTGACAATGCTTATACTTGTAAAACATCCCCGACTCTTTTTCAGATCTATATCGACGGAATCGTACCAGATAACTTTGTATTTGGTCATGGAAGCATTGATAGAAAACCTGTATTCCTATGTGTCTTGCCTCAACATCTAACACCGGCTTGGGTTGGAGCAAACGTCTTTATCTTCCCATTGATGAGAACATTGGGAGGACAGGGATTTGATTCTAACTACCGATTGGAAGGAAATTTGACAACGACAGTAGAAGAATCACCTCGAAAATTGGAATTCTATTCAATACGAACCGAATTGTCAAATGGTGTTTCTAAGCAGGAATCTGAAGCGAACCAACGTGCCAACTCTCTTTTGAAAACCTCAGAAAATGCGACATACTCTTCTGGAGACACCGTCGCTATCGTTCTGACAGATTTTACATAAAACCATCCCTTTTCCGTTTTTGTCCCTTTATTTATCGATCTCTACTATGTGTACTCGGTGCTTTGCATTTTCATTAACATCTCAAAATAAATATTTTTTAATGACTAAGTAGTTTTGATTTATCATCTTTTTGTGGCAAGATTTCTGAAGAAGAGCTAAAAATAAGTCTGTCAATAGGCCGGCCACAGTTTTCTTTTTAGAGCAGTTTCTATTTAGATAGGACACATCAACCTGTCTGCCCCGATTTCGATAGAATTGGCTGAAACAGAAAGAGATTCACATCTTTTTGGAGCTGAAATCCTGCCGATTTCTGTGCGAATGATACCGTAGTATTTCTTCAAAGGGTCTGGTAATCGGTTTCCAACCTGATTCGGGAAAATTCCGGAGCAGAAATGGCTAGATCTGGGTAGAAGATTATCCGAATCAGGTTGGAAAATTAGCTTTCTCGGTCGGATCTGGTCGGAAAATAAAAAGTTTCCGAATCTGGTTGGAAAATGCGCGTCACCCAATCTGGTTGGAAAATTTCCCGAAACTGGTTAGAAACCGATTACCAGAGGGCGCAACAACAAATAACTCATGGTCTCGCAGCGATTTTGAAATTGCGCCTTCAATAAAGTTACGGCTTTATGATTGCAGGGCAAGCATTCAGAGCAAATATCCTCCTTCTCCGTAAACTTGTTCGCTGTAATCCGAAGTGTTTTTCCGTTTCCTCATCCGAAAATCGTAGTTGTTGTGTGTGCCGCCGAAAAAAGTACCCGTCTGCAGCGGCGTGTTTGCGTCCTTCAATTGATTTCATTTTTTTTTCCGACGAAACCGCATTGTGAGCAGTTCTGTTGGCGAAATTAGGTCTATTTGGCAGTAGATTGTTTATATGTTCAGTAATTTACAGTCACTTCGACAAATAATTAAAACTAGCAACCCATAAATAGTCCCACCTATCGCATTCTTTCAGCTTTTTAGGAAATTCTGTAACCGAAAGTTCTATAATACTCACACAGTTAAATAACTGGTTACTGAATCTTGAAACTTCATTTTTCAATCTTTTTTACCTAATTAAATTTCTCATCATATCGGTTTATCGATATTTTCAGTCGCGCGATGGAGCCGATGCTAGTTGAAGACCTCGAGTCGGATATAAATGCGGCCAGAGACAAGCTGCGAACTATAGATGACAAAGTAACTACACTGAATGGAAGACCACCTCGTCAGCGTATCTCCTACAACGATGAACCAGAAGATGGTCCACTCAGAAACGTGGGACGAGATGCTTTCGGACTGAAAGAAGAAGCGCCGACATGGGGCACTAGAAAAACAATTGAAGCACCAGCTGGTGTTCGCAGTAGAATTAGGTATGCCAAAGTTTCTACGATCTCTCTTAACGGTATGAATTTTCAGTATGGAGGGCAGAGTCGATCGCCGGAGTGGCGGTGGTCGACAGAGTTTTGACGGTCACAAACGTCAACGTCCAGACCATTTGGAAAATGATGAAGAGGAGGATGATTTCGGGAAGCGTCAAAAAAGATCAGTTCAGTCAACAGTGGTGATGCCTGCTTTGGACTCGAAGGGTAGAGAGGAGAAGATTGAGAAGCTGAAGGAGACAGAGAACAAAGACAGTAAGCAGAGAACTAAACGACTTTTCTCGAACTTGATTATGGGAACTCTATCCTCATTCAAGAAGACGGAAAAGAAGACAACCCAACAAGAAAAACAAGAAGCAGTTGAAAAACGTCTAGAGGAGACTAAAAAGAAGGATCTTGAATCTGTAAGAACTGAATTCATTTAGAACTAAAAATGAAACATATTTTTCAGCGGAGAGAAGAGAAACACGACCTTCTGAATCAAAGACGAGAGCATGAGAAAGAATTGCTTGGACTGCAACGCAAGAAGGCTTTGATCCAGTACGCAGATCATAGTGTCAAACAACTGAGCTTGATGAAGGGTTGGATAAAAACAAAGACGAATCCACCAATCTACTGGCAGCCAGTGAAGCATACTGTCCGTTCGATGGAGTTACAGCAAGCCACTGAGCGGCAAATTGAAAGTGAGTCATTGAACGCATGTTAGTGGAACAACTCCAGAAGTGCAAGATATACAATAACTGTATTTATTTCAGGCCAGATCAACGAGCGTAAGGAGCAGTTGAAGAAGGAATTGGATGGAGGAAACGCTGCTGAGATTCGCGCAGCTGCTAAGACTGAAGACGATGAGGAGGATGAGTACGAAGACGACGAGGAGAAAAATGAAAATGAAGACATTGAAGTGGTGCTGAAAACAGAGGATGATCTAAAAAGAGAGGAAGAAGAAGATGAGAAGGAGGAGGAAATCGATGTTCATGTTGAGCTCGATTGAATCCTTCAGAGGGTTTCAGGTACCAAAGTGATATTTTTTTCCCTGTAGCCTAATACCAATCTCCTCCAAGAAAACCCAGCTTTCAATGAAAATTCAGGTATCTCCGGGAAGTTCTGTAAGTTTATGTACCTCTCCCTCTTATTCGTAAATGTGCTCCCGTTTTATTTAACTTTCCAAACTATATTTTGTTCTGTTCCCCTTTTTTTCCTGTCAATCGTCTTGCAGACAGTGGAAGAATAAATATTTATTCTGTTTATTGTTCTAATAGGTTGTAATTTAAAAAAAGGAAATCAGAAGAATGAGAGATCAAACTAATACTCGTCAAATTCGGTTTGATGAAATGATTATTTGGTCACAACTTTGTTTGTTTCGAGAAAGAACTGGGGAAGAATCGTTGGTCCATTCAGATTAGTGTATGAGGAGGTGTGTGATTGTTCGACACCAACGGCGTGTGTTCCATGTTTTTCCGTAGGGTCGGTCCGTTGGAATTCCGGAATGGTGCATTTTTGACCTAGAAATAAAATGAATGATAAGAACCATTTCTTATAGAATTACATGTGGAGCAACCTGATCTATCGAAAGCACCCCTCTGCGTTTCTTGGGCATCTTTGAACGAGCCTGCGTATGAGAGTAGAACATGGCGAAGTTGGATACGATGACCTAGAAATTTCGAATTCATAACAACTTTGTGTGTTTTGTTCTGGCATCGGCAACATTTTGAATTCTAATTAGACACCAAAAAACAAAACTCACTGGAACTGGCAAAGCAATAGTAAGCACACCGGCTAGAGCACAAACTGAACCGATCAAACGTCCCAGATAGGTGTGAGGAGTTATATCGCCATAGCCGATGGTTGTCATTGTTACTATCTGAAATTAATAATTACGATAGTTTTAACTTACCGTAAGCACTCTATGTAGAAGGCCACCTTATATTTGCACTCAGAGCTTAACTAGCTCGGTTTCTATAAGAGCTATCAAAAATGTGTCGACTGATAAATTGTTTATCAGGATATCAGCAATATTTTATCAGTTGACACATTTTTGTTATCTCGTTCAGAAATTCCGATAATTGAGCTCAAAGTGGAAGTATGGGGTGGCCTTCTATTAGAGTGTTTACGGCATGTGATATACGAACTTACCGCCCACCATAATCCAACAGGAATCGACACAAACTGATTATCAACATTGCTCTCAACCCGTTCCGCGTAATAAACAAGCGATGCGAAGACAACGACTCCAAGAACCAGGAAAAAGACGAGAAGCATCAGTTCTTTAGCCGATGCTCGGAACGTGTGCATAAGAATTTTGAGACCGGAATTGTGATGAGTCAACTTAAAAAGTCGCATGATACGAATGATTGAAAAGAATTCAAGGTCTGCAGTTGCTCCGAACATGCTCGAAAGTAGATCAATGTAGAATGTTAGTGTGGCGACGATATCAATGATATTGACAGGTGCTCGAAGGTATTCGATTCGACACGGGCACGATGCAAACCTTGCCAATATCTCTATCGTAAACCAAATGTTACATATTGTTTCGATGTACTGAAATAAAAATTTAATTAAACAATAGTGGTTCAAAATTTACCATGAAAGTTGGATGAGGCCTAGAATTCTGTTTATCAATATTAATTTGTGCTGGCTGTATTCGTGAAGAAATACTTCGATGATTGCGAGAAAAGTTTCCGAATAGCTGTAACTCTGGAATTCGTAGTCCTGGATGAGTTTTCAAACAGAACACAATGATGGCAGTGATGAGGAAGAAGACAGAAATCGCCGCAATGAATTGGGCGTATCTGGACGAGTTTGGTTCATCGAATAGTCTCCAGATTCGAGGTTTCAGCCTTTGCCAAGCACTCAAACTGTCGTTATGGTAGTCGTCTTCCCATCCAAATCGTTTATAGAGCTCCTGAAGTAAATTGTTTCTTCACAGACGGGCTCTCTTCGGGTTACCGTATTCCTTCTATAAAAACCGACCCAACCTTGCAACTTTGAGCCCACATATCTTCTTTCCTGTGAAAGATATCAAAAAGTGGTCAACGGCCACAATGTTTCTCATAATATCAAAAACATTTTGTTAGATAACCACTTTTTGATATCATTCACAGGAAAGAAGATATGTGGGCTTAAAGTGGGCGGGTTGGGTGGAATCCTATTAGAATTTTTACGTATACCAAATTTTAAGGGTGACAATGAAAAAAACAACTCACAGGTCCTTCTGTTTGATCAACTTCAATATCTAGCTCATCAAGAGTTTTCAGAACATCTTGAGTGTCTCTGGTTCCTGATAACGTCATCCAACAACACGGCTCACATTCATTCGAATCTAACCCCCAGTACTGAAAATCAAAAATTAAAAACATTATATTGAACCAGTCAAATCCCACCTTCAGCTCCTCTTCGAATAATGGTCCACACACATCCAATGGATAATGCAATTTGCCGGTTCTGCAAAAAAAAAATTGCATCTACAAAAAATAAATCATTTTTCCAACCTATAATAATTGAGTATTTGTGCAAATACGCCAGGATGTCGATCGAAAAAATACTCGTTTAGCACTGGATCATAATTGGCCAAACTTGTAGTCAATCGAGAGAGTCTGAAAAAAAAGAATTGTAATAGGAGATGTGGAAATAAGGTAATCTCACCTCGTTGCTGGGATTTTCTTGAGTGTGTGCTTATAGGTTTCGTGACGAACTCCGCCCACATTGAGAATGATTCGATATTCACTGTCCATGACAGTTTGTCTGTAAAATCTTCCTTATTAATAAAATGCTAGAGGCGTCTGTCCGTCCTCGTGTCCGTTTGTGGACTTTTGAAAAAATTGAAAAATACATATATACAGTACCGGACAAAAAGATATGAACTTTGGTTTTTGGACTATAACTTTCTTCAAAATAGGGCTAAAACATCATCTTTTTTTGTAAAATGTAGCTAATCACCCGAGAAAAATGATGCAAAAATGTTTTCATCTTGAAAAAAATGCGAGAAATTTTTAACGAAAAAATTCATTTCTTGGAAAATTTTAGATTGTCGGATGGTTTTTTTCAGAAATCTGGGAAAAATAAAAAACGATCATGTTTATGAAATATAACTTTTTAACATGATTCAAGAGACTCTGACCAACTTTTAAACAAATCATACCTCATAAAAACACAATTATTTCGATGATATGGTAGTTCAAAGTGTCAACTAGAGATTTCCGGCTTCTGGACTCTTTCTACTATCGTTCCACAACTTGAAGTGGTCAATTTTTGGTACGTTTTATGTTTTTATCGTTTTTCAAGTGTTATTCTATAATATATCATCGATTTCCACTCGAAAAATA